CGAAATTTTGTAAAAACAAGTTAAAAAGTATCAGTCGGTATTGCCGACAGATATATACCCTCAGCCTATGTTCGATTAAATAATCGAAATATATTTGACTAGTGTTACAATTATTCAAACGTTTGACCCTCTATGGAGCCGGTTTCGAAGGAATGGGCCAATATTGTCCATTTCATATCAGACTCAAAAATATGATATAAATATTCCGTTCCTGAGATATGTTATAATTTTTAGAAAATGTTAAAAAGTGCGTGATGTACCATATAGAGTCTACCGAAATATTCCATTTTTATACTTCACCTGATATTGAGCGAAATATGGGGCAAAATTACAAGAAAAGTTAAGTCAGATATGTCAAATTTTATGCGAAATCATAAATTCCGATAAATTTCATATTCATATCAGGCTTCTTATTGAATAGTAAAGAATTGCTAAATTGTTTCGAAAGTTATGACAGATAAAATTATTGAAAATTGTGACCCTTCGTGTAAACTTCACAACAGATATTGTGTTTGCAAAAATATTTGTGTGTGTGAAATTTGAAGAGTTGGATGCTTATTTAGCTTTATTTGTGTGTTTTGTTTTTCAAAATCTTGAACCCTATGTATAGGGGAGGTACCAGAAGAAATGGTTCGATCTATACCACCTTTATAACAGATCTTGTGTTGATAGAAATATTGAGATGTGTCAAGTCTAAATGGAATCGGATCTTAATTTGGCGTTTTATGAGCTTCATGGGTATTCAAAATTTCGACACTTTGTGGGGGAGGTACCAGAAGGAGTGGACCGATACATTCCATGCTAAAACCAGATCTTGGGTTTATAAAAATATTGGAATGTGTGAAATTTGAAGACGTTCGGACTCTTACATCACATTTTATAAAAGTTGTAATTATTCAAGATGTTGACCCTTTGTGGGGGAGGTCCCAGATGGAGTGAACCGATATTGTCCATTTTCGCACCTGACCTAGCACTGACGCAAATATTAGGATTTGCAAAGTTAGAGCAAAACCGGGTAATCGTTTCTCTTTCTGTGCAAAAAATATATTTTATATATATTATTTGAAAATTTCGACCTTTTTTGGGGTAGGTACCAAAAGGAGTGGACCGATGTATTCCCTCTAAACACCAGACCCTCAGTTAATAAAAATATTGAGATATGTGAAATTTGAAGACTATCGGACTCTTACATCACATTTTATAAAAGTTAAAATTATTCAAAATTATGACCCTTTGTGGGGAAGGTCCCTGATGGAGTGGACCGATATTGTCCATTTTCGCACCTTACCTAGCACTGATGAAAATACTAGCATTTGCAAAGTTTGAGCAAAATCGGATTATCGTTTCTCTTTGTGTGCAAAAAATATTTTTTGAAATTTCGACCTTTTGTGCACCAAACCTTGTGCTAATAAAATTATTGCGATGTGTGAAATTTGAAGACTATCGGGCTCTTACATCACATTTGTAATTATTCAAAATGTTGACCCTTTGTGGGGGAGGTCCCTGATGGAGTGGACCGATATTGTCCATTTTCGCACCTGAACTAGAACTGATGAAAATTCGCAAAGTTCGAGGAAAATCGGATTATCCTTTCTCTTTCTGTGCAATAAATTATTTTCTTTGAAAATTTGGACATTTTGTGTGGGAGGTACCAGAAGGAGTGGACCGATATTGCCCATCTCCGAACTCTATCTAAGTTTGACAAAAATATTGCGATGTACCAAGTTTGGACCAAATCGGATACTACCTACGAGAGTTATCGTGCGCACCAGCCAGCCAGACAGACAGACAGACAGACGGACGGACGGACGGACATCCCTAGATCGACTCCAAATGTTCTGAAACGGATTTGGTCCAAAGAGACCTAGGGTCTAAAACCGTTATTTCGACTAGGCACGTTTTGGCCGTATCAAATGATATATACCCTCTGTAGCCATATGGCTGAGGGTATAAAAAAAACAAAAACTTTAAAATGTCATGTCAAGATATTTTGAGAAATAAGAATAGCTAGTACATTTTTTTCAATTTTTGCTGACTACATTTAAATAATGTAAAATATAGCCAGTAGAAATTCCCACACAAGTAGGGAATGAATTAAATCTCATATTCCACATTGTTTTGATTATTCATTGAGCAGCGTTTGGAGCGTTGGCCGGCACACAATGATGGCTTATCACTCCAAAAATGTTGACGTCGTTATGACCCTGAAAACAGTTTTATTTTGGGAAACTGTAACATTCGTTTCGGCTCCACAACTTGCGATAAGAATGTTCCATTATTGAGGTAGCTTTAAAACATCTGACATCTGTATAATGGGAAATATTTAAGTTTTTGATTTATTATACCCTCCACCTTGAAACGGAGGGAGGGTATATTAACTTTGTCATTGCGCTTGTAACATCCCTAAATATTCGTCGTAGACCCCATAAAGTATATATATTCATAATCAGCATAAAATTCTTCGATTTAACGATGTCCTTCTGTTTGTCCGTCTGTCTGTTAAAATCACGATACAGCCCACATTATTTGATGTAGAGCGTCAAAATTTAGCAGAATAATTTGTATTGTGTCTAGGATGGTTGGTATTGAAAATGAGATATATCCGTCCACGTTTTGGTATAGTCCCCATATAACGCTACCTTCCGATATTCGGTATTTTGATGATTTTTGCCACATTTTTTCACGGATTTGTCTGAAAAATGGTATTTGTTGGTCGTAATGGGTTCTAGCTCCGGTGGCAAAACAATGCATGTAAAGGTCCACGATTTGGTATAGCCCCCATATAATGTTACCTCCCGATATGCGGTATTTTTATGGTTTTTGAATGTATAGGTCCACGTTTTGGTATAGCTCCCATATATCGGTACCTCCAGATATTCGGTATTTTGATAATTTTTGCCACATTTTTTTCGCGGAAATATTGTATGTATAGGTTCCGTTCCGTTGCAGAAATATTGTATGTATAGGTTCACGTTTTTGTATAGCCCCATACAGCGGTACCATCCCGATATTTGGATGATTTTGCGACATTTTCCCATGAATATTTCTAAAAATTGGTATTTGTGTGACACAATGGGTTCCAATGTTTCCTTTGCCCTAAGGTGGAGGATATTAAAAGTTTGGCCGGCCGAACTTAATGTTTTTTTTTTTTACTTGTTTTACACCAAAGTGGTGGTTTATTCAACCCGCTGTCCTAAACTCTAATTTCATGCGAGATATCGTATCCTTTGGTTTCTATTTGTGACCTTTATAACGGCTGCAAAATCAGGAACATTTTTAGTTTTTAATATATTGCGGACATATTTAAAAACAATAGGCCTAGCCTTTCAGAGCCTAACGCAACCCTTGTGAAAATTTTCGTGAGGATTGGCATCCTTTAATGCATTTTTTGTAGATTTTATTCTTTTGTGCCAAAGAGGCATTCTGAATTGACAAAATTTGTCAAAATCGGTCCAGCCATTCTTAAAATATAAGCATTCTAGGCAAAATCCATCCATCCAGCTAAGTTCGACAGGGCCGAACTTTTTATACCCTCCACCATTCGGAAGGAACTTGAAAATTTTTTTAAATATTCCATCGAAAAATAACGCTCACATGAAAATCTTGGCGGCTATACGAAATGTCAAACAATTCCAGTGAATAATGTCGCTCAAATCATGGAAATACCGAAAAAGTGAGGGGACCGTTATATGAGTGCTATACTAAAATGTGGACCTGTATAGATAATTCTCTTTCGGTGGGTTGGTACTCAGAAGGAACTTCTTGTATGGATTTTAAGCCAATTCCACTGAAAAGTATGGCTAAAGTTGTCAAAATACCGACTATCGGGGGGTAACATTGTATGGAGCCTATACGATATCGTGAAGTTATATAGACAATACTCTTTCAGGGGTTAAATTACTCAAAGAGAACCACTGTATGGGGCCTTTACGATATCGTGGAGCTATATAGACAATTCCCTTTCAGGAGGTATAGTACTCAGAAGGAACTCCTTGTATAGACTTTCAGACAATTCCGTTGAAAAATGTGGCTAAAATCATCAAAATACCGAATATCGGGGGGCTACCGTTATATGGGAGATATACGATATTGTGGACCTATATAGACAATTCTATTTCAGGGGGTAAAAAGATCAAAAAGAATTCCTTGTGCAGAATTTCATATAATTTCGTTGACAAATGTGGCTGAAATCATGAAAGTACCAAATATCGGGGCTACCGTTATATGGGAGATATACGATATTGTGGACCTATGTAGATAATTCTCTTCCAAGGGATAAAGTACTAACAAGGAACTCCTTCTGTGGAATTTCAGACAATTCCGTTGAAAAATGTGGCTAAAATCATTAAAATTATGAATGTCGGTACCGATATATGGGCGTTATACGATATCGTGGAGCTATATAGACAGTTCTCTTTCAGGGAGTAAAGTACTCACACGGAACTCCTTGTGCAGAATTTCAGGCGATTCCTTTAAAATGTGGCTAATATCATCAAAATACCGAATGTCGAGAGGTAGCGTTATATGGGGGCTATACGATATCGTGGACCTATATAGACAATTCTTCTCCAGGGGTAAAGGACTCACAAGGAACTCCTTGTGCAGAATTTCAGGCGATTCTGTAAAAAATGTGGATATAAAATATCGGGAGGAACCGTTATGTGAGTAATATACAATATCGTGAACCGATATAGCCCATCTTCGAACTTTATCTGCCTAGATCCAAGAGACAGATCGGTGCAAAACGTTAGCTTCCTACCTTAATTCGTTTTGATCCTATTGTGATTACAACAGACGGACGTTTTACAAATTTAAAATCTAAAATTATTTTTTCGATGAGTAACAAACGGATTGACGAATTTAATATACCCTCCATGCTAGGTATGGTTGAGGGTATAAAAAGCTAAAGTAAAATTTAATTTTCTGATAAGGCAAGCCTTTGGTAGTGCGCAGTGATAAGGCCGGCTTTTTGCTTTTGATATTTGTATTTTATCGCCACAGCCAATATTGTGAAAACAGCTCTCAATTTCAAAGATTAAGATTTAGTTGTGATTTAGAACTAAATGTGAAAGCATCTCCCCTATAGAGATCGAGGCAAAATGAGGCTCTGGTTTTATGCGGTAAAGAAAATAGAAAAACTCAATTTTGTGGCAAACGGCCAAATTAAGCACCATTATTTCATTCTCCAAACTGCAGCTTCTGGGACTTTGTTTTGTCCCCTACCTGCGAGCAGAATGCACCAGTGAATCCTGTGCCCATCAGTTAATGGAAACTTTGGATATAGTATATCTCCGCAGTGCCAAAAAATTGAGTCTGTATCCGGATTTCCAAGTGGGTGCCGAATTGGCATTGCGCAACAGTCTGCTACCTCTGTTGAGGACCATGGACAAATTCGATTGGCAGCACTTTGAAGACCCTCAGCTCAAAAGGCAATTTGAAATTCTCCTAAGAGATTCAAAACATCCGGCAATTAGTAAAAGATTTCGCCAACACACTTCGGACCTACGGACTGTGGGTAAGCAAAAATTCACCTGTGATAGCAGCATGCCCAACAAATGTAAGCTGATATCCTATGTGCGCCACATCAAACCAATTGTGACCAACAGCAATGATCCGGAAGAAATCAAATGGTATTGGCGTGAATGGCGCAATCATCTGCCACAAGAAATTAAAAATTCCATGCATTTCTACATTGATTATTATCGAAATATTTCCGCTGCGACCTTGACCTCGACAGCGACATCACCCTCCAGCATTTGGTATCAGCAGTATGATGAGCCGAATTTCATGAAAAATTTAGAGGGTTATATGAAAACAATTGAACCTTTGTGCCGGGAATTGCATGCTTACCTGCGGGATGCCTTGCGTCGGAAATATGGTGACGATGTCGTACCCACTTCCGGATTAATACCCCACCATCTGGTGGAACAGGCGCTCTATCAATCGTGGAAAAAGGAATCGGTTTTAGAGAATCCCCATCAGCACAAGAAAATGCCCAATCTTTTGCAGGAACTAAGGGGAAAGCGATGGAATCCCCGGGATCTAATCGAAGCGAGTGAAGAATTTTTCAAATCGATGGGCTTTCCACCATTTTCTGAGTAAGTGAATTGAGGGCAATTAAAATTTGATAAACATTATCTCATGACCTCAAGACGACCTCTCAGGTCTTTTATTTTTGTACAAATTCAAATGTTTATGGATGAATTTTTGGAGAGATATTCCCCATTTGGAATATTTTCAAAAGTCTTTGCTCTATATAGGGGAGAGAGAAGAATTTGGCCCTAATGAATCCAAAAGGTCAAATGGCAGTTGATTCGATTCTAAATCTTTGCTGAATCCTTCAAAATACTGAAAATCAGTAGGTACCGTAATATGGGGGTACGTAGACCAATGCCGCTGGTTTTTAACGTTAAATCTATTTAGATGGTATGACGAAGAATACATATTGAATACCCAAGAAAGAGAAAGAGAGATTCTGTACAACCTCCATATAAATACACCTCCCGATGTTCGGTATTTTTATAATCTCCACCATTCTATTAACTTTGTCATTCCGTATTCATAATATACCCTACAAAGTAAATACATTCAGCGCAAAAATTTTAAGCCAATCCGTCTGTCTGTCCGTTGTAATCACGCTATCATTCGAACGAATTGAGATAGAAGGCTTAAACTTTGCATACATACATAGTTTACCAGCAGGCAGGTAAGTTCGTAAATGGGCCATGTCGGTCCACGTTTTCGTATAGCCCTCATATAACGGTACCTACCGATATTCGGTATTTTCATGATTTCAGCGACATTATTTACCGGAATTGTTTCAAATTTCGTATTTGAAGTTCGTAATAGGAACTACAGCCTATGACAAACATTTTTAAATGCAGGCCCACGTCTTCGTATAGCCCCCATATGACGGTACCTCCCGATACTCGGTATGTTTATGATTTCTGCGACGTTATTCACCAGAATTGTTTCAAATTTGGTATTTTAAGTTCGTAATGGATACTACAGGCTGTAACAGAAAATTGTTCATGTCTTCGTATAACTCCGATGTAACGGTACTTCCCTATCTACGGTATTTTGATGATTTTAGCTACATTATTCACCGTTCATTTCAAGTTTCGAATTTGAATACGGTAATGGCTTATGATAACAATGCCTATGTAGGTCCACGTCGTATAGACCCCAATATAACAGCTATATAAGGCATTTTTAAGATTTTGACAGAATTTTTAACGGATTTTATTTTTTGAAAGTTTCCAAATTCGTTCAAATGGTGGAGGGTATTCAAAGTTCAGCCCGGCCGAACTTACTTAAACTTGTTATACCCTCTGCCATACGGCTACAGAGGGTATATATACGGCCAAATCATGCCTCATCGAAATAAAGGACCAAATCCGTTTCAGACATTTGTAGTCGATCTAGGGTTGTCCGTCGTCTGTCGGTGTGGCTAGCTGGTGCACACGATAACTCTCCAATGGATCTAAACTTAGTACATTTTAATAATATTTTCAAATTAAAGATCAAAATATTCTATCTATTCTTAGATAGAAAAAATATCATCCGATTTTTGACAACTATTTAAACTTTAATATTTGCATCAGAGCTAGGTCAGGTGGAGCAATTAAAAACATTAAATTCGGCCGTGGCAAACTTTAAATACCCTCCACCATTGGGTAAAGAAAACATTTTTTCCGAATTCAAACGTGTTCCACTTTAAACTATAAATACCAGTAAGGCCATTTGGATAATGCTGTTAAATTTTTCAAAAAAAAAAACATAAAGTGGGTTAGGCCGTTATATGGCGGCCATGCCGAAACGAGAACCTCCATAGACAATTTTAAACTTCAAGGATTGTCATCTACCAAATCTTCTAAAATACCAAATTTGAAACAATTTCATGGGTAAATGTGACTAGGACTATCAAAATACCAAATATCGGGAGGTACCGTTATATGGGGGCTATACAAAAACGTGAACCTATACATACAATTTTTCGGCACCTTAGCTAGAACTTATTATGACGTACAAATACCAGTTGTTAGACAAATCCATGAAATCGAAATTCAAATATAGGAAGGTACTATGGTCTGCAACCGCGTCTAGGACCCATTCCGAACTACAAACACCCATTTTTAGACAAATCCGTAAAAAAATGTGGCAAAAATCATCAAAACACCGATTATCGGAAGGTACCGCTTTATGTGGGCTATATAAAAAAGTGTACCTATACATACAATGTTTCACCATACTAGCTAGAACCTATTATAATCTACAAATACCAATTTTTAGACAAATCTTCAAAATACCAAAGCTACCGTTATATTTGGATTATACCAAAATGTGGACCTATATGCCGATCATACTAGACACAATACAAAATGTTCTGCCAAAATTTTGAAGCTTTACGTCAGATAATGTGGGCTGTATCGTGATTTCAAGAGAAAAACGGACAAAATCGACTTAGAATTTTATTCTGATTATGAATATATACACTTTATGGGGTCTACGACGAATATCTAGGGATGTTGCAAACGGAATGACAAAGTTAATATACCCTCCTTTCTAAGGTGGATCGTATAAAAATGGTCAATATAGGCCCTATCCATCAATACCACCGTCATAAAAGGTCAATATTTTGAAAAATATTTATATTCCTATTTCGAACATCCCAATATTTCTACCAACACGAGATCTTGTATGAAGAACGGATCAGTAATAACCAGCTTATTTCGTTCACTCAAAATTGAGTTGTACTAATTGCAGTATAATTTACTTAGTCTTCATTTCCAAAACCACCTCCTTATATCCACCCCATTTCCATGAATTGATTCTCATACCAGTTTTCGAAATTTTACCAAATATCGGTTCACATAATTCCAAATGGTACCAAATGTAGTGCATTTTAAGACTTTTGGCTCCCCATTTTTTGAACTGCAAAAAAACCCTTTAGTTGGTCTATCCTAAACAACGTAAGAAACTCTCACCCCAAATTTCACATTTTAACCTCTGTTCCTGCATCCAAAACCAAATATAGTACCATTTAGTACTTTTTCGTACAATTATGGTGAACATTTCCGAAACCTCCTCCATATGTCTAGGCTACGCATGAATACATTTTTTTCAGATTTCCAGCACTATATATTCACCTAATACTAAATTGTAGCAAATATAATGCTACTTTTCGTGCAGCACTTGCAGTATACACTTCCAAAACCAGCAACAGGGACCCCAATACAAAATTTCAAAATTCCACCTTCAACTGTTATCCCAAAAAAAGCCCTTTGGTACATGTATTCTACACTCCATCAGTGACTCTCATTCCAAGTTTAAGAATTCTAATTATACCCTCATTAATATGGCAAGAAAGGGTATATATCATTTGATGCGGTCAAAAGGTATCTCATCAAAATAATTGTTTTAGACCCTAAGTCTCTTTGGACCAAATCCGTTTCAGGACATTTGGTGTTGATCTAGCGATGTCCACACAAATGGTCAAAATTTTGAAAAAGTATAACTCTCTTCAATTGTGATTTTTATAAACCCAAGGTCTGGTGTGAAGATGGAATATTTCGGTTCACTCCAGGTCGATATTTTGAATATCCGAGCTTAGATTTTTAGTCTTTGTGCAGACATAACCCATTAGTCGGCAATGTAGAAAAATTTAATTATTCTTTGTATTAAAAAGTCCATTGCGTAATTCGTTTACATTCCCTTGTAATGGGTCATTTGACTCATGTTGCTCCCAATTTTGCTGGGTATAAATTTATTCAGGGGATACTTTCTAACTTGTTTTAATGATTTTTTTATTTAACATAATAACTTTTTTTTGCGTAGAGAACTCAAACGTGATCACTTTGTGGAAATTGAAGACAATATGGCTGGACCGGATTGCAAGTCGTACATTTTCACTCATGGCAGCATTGAACTGAACTATTGTCCCAAAATGAATTACAAAAAACTGCTAACAACGCATGGCGATGTGACGCATGTGGAGTATGGAATTTTGAAAAATAACCTGACTGTGGGATTGAATCGCGAAGCTTGTCCTGGTTTTGCCAATGCCCTGGCCGAGGCGGTGATACTTTCCGCCTCCACACCCAAACATTTGCAACAACATTTACAGCTGTTGACCGAATTCGATTATGACAATGAAATGAATTTGAATTTTTTGTTTAGAATGGTAAGAAAAGTGTAAAGCGTTTCGAAAGCGAACTGGAAAGAAAAACTGCGATAAATGTTTATATTTTTTAAAAAAATTTATAGAATTTACATTTCTCTTTCGAATTGGCATGCAGAAACATACCTTTAATAAGTTTCCAATTTTTGTTTCTATAGGCTGTCCATGCCCTTCTTTCCATACCCTCATATTTTGTCCATGAAAAACTTTGGGTGGATATGATTGATGGCCGAATTGATGCCGCCGAATACAAATGTCACTACTGGAATCTTATGGCACAGTATATGGGTGTGGGACCATCGGAGGTAACTGAAGCCACAACCTACGACATGCCCTATAAATTCTATGAGGGTTTGGTTGAGGAGACGCGTAGCACGAAGTGTGAAACGAAAATATTTATATTTTCGAATAATTTCAAATAATAATTCTATTTTTCCCAAAAATAGGAAACTTTTCGGTGAATTTTTAGGTTATCAAATCTATCGCGATATCTGCTTGGAAATTGGAGAATTTGAACCTGGTAATGCCGACAAGGCCTTGTTCAAATGTGATTTTGCGGGTAACCAGAAAGCTGGCAATATTCTCAAGTAATTAAGTGGAAAAGGAGATATATTTTAAAGAATGGTTATTTTTGAATGTTCTTCTGTTTTTAGGAAGATAATGTCAGCTGGAGCAACAAAGCTCTGGCGTGAAATTGTAAATGCCACAAAATTGGATGGTTCTGCCTTTTTGGAATATTATGCCCCTCTTACAGCTTGGTTAAGGGAAGAAAATAAAATCAACAACATCACCGTGGGCTGGCATGTAACGGATTGTAAGTACATGTCTGGATATGTGTATTGATGTTTTTTCTTAAACTAATTTAATTCATTTCTAGATTGTGCAAATTTAAACAACACAACAGGAAATCTATGAAAAATAATAGCGATTTAAATATTGATTTTGTGACTAATAAAGGAAAATAAATTTCAATAAAATGCGGGGAAAAAAATAGTCCTCTTTAGATTTATGGAGACTCTGGCCTAATTTTCTTAATCAGAAACTAACAAAAAACAAAACTTTGCTGTGAAAAAGATCTGCCAATAGAACTTGAGTCGAACCTGGAGAGTTTCTAGTGTATAATTCGCATATGCTAATTTGCAATAAGTTCGAAATATATACTACTTTCCAGAGAACGGCCCTTGTAAGCCATCATCCACACCAAATATGCCTGATGAGCCGCTTAACCAACGGCGAAACGCGTCGCATAGTGGTGAGTGTGTGATAGTGTCTATCTGGCTTTCCTTTTCACTGCAAATTTCAGATCATTAAGCTCGTCTCGAAAGAGAAAACAAACACTTAAATCATAAAACATATGATCTTCGCCTTAACAAGGCAAAACTCAACAAAACAGCTGCAAGTTCGGCCGGGCCGAACTTTGTATACCCTCAACCATTTGGTGGAAATTGGGCAATTTTCTTAAAAAATTTAGTTAAAATCTTAAAAATAAAGGGTCTATACGACGACGTGGACCTGCATAGGCAACTTTTGTCATAAGCTATTACAATATTCAAATGCGAAACTTGAAAAAAAATCTCTTTATAATGTAGCTGAAAACATCAAAATACCGAATATAGGGAGGTACCATGGGGGCTATACGAAGACGTGGACCTGCACAGACAATTTTCTGTCATAGGCTGAAATACCCATTACGAACTTTAAATACAAAATTTGAAACAATTCTGTTAAATAATGTCGCTAAAATCATCCAAATACCGAATATTGGGGGGTATCGTTACATGGGGGCTATACGAATACGTAGACCTACATGGCCCATTTTCTGTCTTAGGCTGTAGTATCCATTACAAACTTCAAATACCAAATTTGAAACAATTCCGGTAAATAGTGTCGCTAAAATAATTAATATACCAAATATCGGAAAGAACGGTTTATGGGGGCTATAGAAAGACGTGGACCCACATGGCCCATTTTCAATACCAAAAGTCCTGCAGACATAATATACATTTGAGTAAATTTTTATCAACTTACTTCATTTCGTTCGGATGCTAGACTGATTTCCACAGACTGACAGACGGACGGACATTGCTAAATCGGCACGGAATTTTATGCTGATCAAGAATATATATACTTTGTGGGGTCTAAAATGTATATTTCTAGGTGTTACAAACAGAATGACAAAATTAATATACCCTCCATACTATGGTGGAGGGTACAATAAGTTGATAGACGTAGCCTGTAAAAATATTCTTTGCCAATCCAGTTATTAAATCATTTTTAACAAGGTCTTGTCCCATAAAAAAAAGTAGTTATTTTCTGGCCACTACAAGCTGAAAAATAAGGACTTATGTAACGACTTTCAGAAGCCAAAATCGATAAATAAGTACTTATGTTATTTATTGTTTTATTTTTCTTGTCCTCTTATAAAAAAAAGCAAGTTAAACAAGTAAAAAAGCAGCTAAGTTCCACCGGGCCGAACTTCTTATTCCCTCCACCATTTGAAGGGAACTTGAAAATGTCCAAAAAATTCTGTCGAAAAATACCGTTCGAATGCAAACCGCTATATGGAGGCTATACGAAGACGTGGTCCTGCATAAGTAGTTTGTGTCATAGGCTGTAGTAACGATTCCGAATTTTATATACGAAATTTGAAAATGTGAACCTTTCTCTTCTAAGGGGTAAAGTACTCAGAAGGAAACCCTTGTGTACAATTTCAGACAATTTCATGGAAAATCGAGGCTAAAATCATCAAAATACCGAATATGGGGGGTACCGTTATATTGGGGCTATATCGATATCGTGAGCCTATATAGATTATTCTCTTCCATGGTATAAAGTACTCACAACGGACTCCTTGTGTGATTTTTCAGACAATTCCATTGAAGAGCATGGGAAAAATTATAAAAATACCGAATATTGGGGTGTACCGTCATATGGTGGCTATACGATATCGGGAACCTCTATAGATAATTCTCTTTCATGGGATAAAGTACTCACAAGGGACTCCTTGTCTGATTTTTCAGAAAATTCCGTTGGAAAATGTGCAAAAATCATCAATATACCGAATATCGGGTGGTAACGTTGTACGAGGGCTATACGATATCGCGGACCGATATAGCCCATTTTCGAACTTGAGGCGAAAAAAGGCAGATCTGTGCAAAATTTTAGCTTCCTATCCTAATTCGTTTTGATTGTAGCGTGATTACAACAGACGGACAGACCGAGGAACGGGCAAGGCTAAATCGCCTCAGAATTTTACGCTGAACAAGAATATACAGGGTGAGATAAAAAACCTGCAACAAAGTCAAACGACATAATTTTTAGATTTTTTTCAATTTTTTTAAATTTTATTGAATGAAAGCAAAAAATTTCGGAAATAGCATAAAATTTTAGAATAAGTTTAGATTTGTTCGAAGTGGTCACTTTGGCACGAATTACGGCTTTCAAACGGCCAATGGAACCGCCACACGCTGCCCGAATGTTGCTCTGCGGTATTTTGTCCATTCCCGGCGAAGCGCTTGCTTGAGGTGATAGACACTTTGGTATTTTTTAGTGCCAACCTTGCTTTCCAAAATACTCCAGACACAATAGTCCAGCGAATTGGTACCGGAGATTTTGGTGGCCATTGTGCGCTGGAAATGAAGTGAGGAACGTCAATTTGTAGCCATTTTTGGTTGGTGCGAACTGAGTCCTGGTGGAATGTCCAAGATCGGCGTCAAAATGTTTTGCGTGCCCAAGGCTTTTATACACCCTCCAGTATATTTCGCGATTATATTCGGAATTTATTCTGATGCCACGATCGATTAATAGGTGCGAAGAGCAGCCATCGGCTGTTATGGTGGTCCACACCATCACCATGGCCGGCGCTCGAGTTCTGGTGGCCAACCGAAGGTGCACATTTTCAGCTGACCTCTTTGGCAAGTAAACACCATCATTTTGTTTGTTTACAAACTGCTGGACAACGAATGTTTTCTCATCGGAGAAACCCAAATTCGGCAGTTCACCACTTTCGGCCAAGAGAAGCAACTCTTTAGCTCTTTTAAGTCTATTTCCTTTTTTTGCAGATTTTTTTTTTTTTGGAATTTCAAAGGCTTTAGCCCGAGCCTCTTTTTTCAATATTTGCCGAATGGAATATTGCGATATGTTCAGCGCACGAACCATTTTTCGGCCACTGCGACGCGGTTATCGATCAAGTCGCTCCTCTACTTTTCGAACCATTTCTGCTGATGCTGTTGCTGTTTACTTCCGTCCACTTCCTTGACGTCGGTCTACACCACCAGTATCACGGTAACGAACGATGTTACAAGACACAAAAGATTTATTCACATTTAAATGCTGGAGTGCTCTAACGATAGCCACTTGTGGTTTTCCAGCCAAACATAAAGAAATCACACTACCTCGCTTGAATTCCATCAGGAGTAACTTCTGGAAAATTCTCACCAAAATACTTTTGTATGCTTGTAAACAATAAAATGAGCTGTCACTGGAATAATTTTAACAGCTGTCGGACGAGTGGCTTAGAAATGACAGCAGCCTGAAGTTGGTTGCAGTTTTTTCATCTCACCCTGTATATTTCGAATTTTGGTAGCCCCAGCCCTAACCTACCCCTACACACTAACATTGATTACATAAAGAATTTCAAGAGTCTAGATTTAGCCATTTCGTTGATGAATCAGTCAGTCACCCAGTCACCACTCTATTCTTCTATTTATGAGGAATACGGACATAGTATACATTTGAGCGAAAGCTTATCCACTTAGGAGCACACAAGCGGTTGGATATATGATCTTATGCTTACCTTAAATATATATAATTTGTGGGGTCTAAAATACGTATTAATACCATGGGGGCAATGTTAGTACTTTTCAGTAGCTTAGGATTTCCAAAAAATCTGCCTCAAAGAATCCATCCCTTCACTACAAAAGCGATTTGTGCGATATTTTCCACATATTCAGCCATTTACTTGTCACATATACTCGTGCGGATATTTGTGTATGTATATCGATTACCTTCATGTCATTTACGTTCAAAATTTTTATTTCAAATTAATTTGTTTTTCATGAAATCAGAAAATCTCCAACGAAGAACAACCGAAAAAAAATGAATCCACACGAAATCCTAATGAAGGCGATACACAGCGAGCGCGACAGACGTTTCTTGGAGTCCCAGCATTACTATCGCAAGGGCGTCGAGCTGTTACGAGATTTTGTCAACAACGAGAGAAATACTCGAACTGCCAAACGTTATTACGAACATATCCTGCAATATATTGAACGCTCCAAAAGCGTAGACGCTCAGGTAGAAAAACTTCTCAAAACTGGAGAATTTCTCAAGTCCACGCAAATACAGGAAGACTCGCAAGGTCATAGCTATGAAACGCTAATTGGTGAATATTTTGAGGCAGATGTTCATGAAATCTATTTGGAGGAACCCTATCTCCAGCGACCATATCAAGTAGAGAATTTAGTTATATTCTTAGAGATGGCGGTGAAGAAATGTCCGCGCTTGAAATTTGTTAAACTGCTCACAAATCGCGTGGGCAATGATGCTAACTTGAGGGATATTCAAGGTAGTCTGCGACTGAGAGGCATTGAATTTGTTGTAGAACGAGACCTGCGTCAGCACGATCGAAAGGTGGCATTGAGTACGGGAATTGTTATAAAAATTGGACGTGGTTTGCACATTTTCAAGGCAGCCAATTCCAGCTACTCTTTGGTATATGTGATTATGATTTTAGGCGTTGTTTGAAAACGGATGTCGACGTGTGGCGTTCGGCGAGAAAGTGAAAATAATTGTGAAAACAAATTTGGTGTGTGCGGTTTTAGTAATAAAATGTTTAAAAAAAAAAGTTAAATAGTATCAGTCGATTTTGCCGACAAATGTATACCTCCAGCCTTGAGTTACAATTATTCAAACTGTGTTGACCCTTATGGGGGAGGTTCCGAAGCTGTTGTCCAATATTGAACAATTCGTATCTGAACCAAGAAGGATATCGACTACTTCCTATACAGTATATGAGCTATGAACAAATTTTTGAAACATGTGGAGATATGTGTGAGGTAACAGATATAGCGGAACGAAGTATTTCACTTCATCTAATACAGATTTTTGCAAAATTTAAATAAAATCGAACATTTGTATCCATTTGTATTTTATAAATTCCGATAAATTACATTTTCATGACAGATTCATGGCTGAGGGAAATATTTAGATATAGCAAGCTGTAAAGAATCGCTGACTTGTTTCGCAAGTTATGACAGATATAAGTATTGGGTATTGTGACCCCTTGTGGCCAGAAGGGGTTGGCAGATATATATATCATCCTCACAACAGATCTTGCGTCAGCAAAAATATTAGCATATGTGGAATTTGATGAGAGTTGGATGCTTATACAGGGTTGCCCATATTCAACGGACCTTTGGGCCCATTCCAATCGACGAGGCTTGTCCCCAGGCAACATTCTTTCCGTAAATTAAATTTTGTACGGGAACAAATGCAAATCAATGCGGATAATCCGTTGTAAAGTGGACCGAGCCATGCCCAACTGCTGAGAACGGTGTTTTTGGGATGTTCTTGGGGACCTCTCAACACTGGCTCGTACGGCAGCGATATTCTCGGCCGATCGCCTTGGTCGACTTTTATATGGCCTCTTCGGATTAAAAAGAGTCTTACCAGTCGAAAATTTTTAGTATAAACGCTTAATGGTGTTCTTAGAAGGCGCACTTCTCACATTTTTTAATGTTTTAAAAGCACGATGAGTTTTCACAATTGACTTCTTGTAAATTTCAACTATTTCAGAGAGCTCGCGTGGCTTGTATTGGTTCATGGTAAAAATCTGCTTGGACTGACGCTTCAAACGCGGTATGTCATTAAGCGATGTGACATCTGTGTCAAAAGTTATGGCGTTGCCAGATGGGTCCGTCGAATATGGGCAACCCTGTATCTTCTTCTTTGGGCATTTTGTTTTTAAAATCTTGAACCCTACGTACTGGAGGTACCACAAGAAATGGTCCGATCTCTCTCATCTTTATAACAGATTTTGTGTGGTTGGAAATATTTACATGTACCAAGTCTGAATGGAATCGGATGTTACTTTCGTGTTCTATGAGATTCATGAATATTCAAATTTTTTTACCCTTTGTGGGGGATGTGCCATAAGAAATGGACCGACCGACGGACATGCCATCTTCACACCAGACCTTGGGTTAATAAAAATATTGTGATGTGTGTAATTTGAAGAGAACCGGGTGCTTATTTCGGATTTTATGATCGTTTTGGTTATTCAAAACTTTTACGCTTTGTGTCGGAGGTTCTCTACCGCCTTTATAACATATTCTGTATTGATAGAAATATTCAGATGTGCCAAGTTCAAATGGAATCGTATAATTATTTCGCGTTTTATGAGCTCCATGGATATTCAAAATGTTGACCCTTTGTGGGGGAGGAACCAGAAGGAGTGGACCGATATATTCCATCTTAAAAACAGATATTGGTTTCATAAAAATAAAAGGATGTGTTTAATTTAAAGATAATCGGACTTTTACATCATCACATTTTATAAGAGTGATAATTATTCAAAATGTTGACCCTATGTGTGGGAGATACTTGATGGAGTGGACCGATATTGTCTATTTTTGCTAGACCTGACATAGAACTGATGCAAATATTAGGATTTGAAAAATTGGAGCAAAACCGGATTATTGTGGGGGGTACCAGAACGAGTGAACCGATTTTGCCCATCTCTGAACTCGATCTAAGTTTCGTAATAATATTACGATGAACCAAGTTTGGATCAAATCGAATACTCCCTTCGAGAGTTATCATGCGCATGAGCCAGCCAGACAAACAGACGGACGGACGTCTATAGATCGTCCTAAAACTGACTTAAAAGCTAAAAAATTAAAAAAAAAACAAGTTAAAATGCATTAAGTTTGGCCGGGCCGAACTTCGAATACCCTCCACTATTTGGAGCGAATTTGGAATATTTTACAAAAATAAAATACTTAAAAAATTCGGTTAAAATTTTAAAAATAACGAATATAGTCGTTATTATGGTGTCTATACGACGTGGACCTACATAGGCATTGTTTGTCATAAGCCATTACCGTACTCAAATTCGAAACTTGAAATAAACGGTGAATAATGCAACTAAAATCATCAAAATATCGTATATAGGGAGGTAGCGTACGAAGACCTGGACCTACATAGACAATTTTCTGTCACAGGCTGTAGTATCCATTACGAACTTCTAATACGAAATCTCAAACAATTTCGGTGAGTATTGTACCTAAACTCAAAATACCGAATATAGGGAGGTACTGATATATGGGGCCTATACGAAAACCTAAACCTGCATAGACAATTTTCTGTCACAGACTGCAGTCCCCATTACGAACTCTAAATACGTAATTTGAAATAATTCCGGTGAATAATGACGATAAAATCATTAAAATACCGAATATTGGAAGGTACCGTTATATGGGTGCTATACGAAGACGTGGACCTGCACAGACAATTTTCTATCTTAGGCTGTACTATCCATTACGAACTTCATTTACCGAATTTGAAATAATTCAGGTTAATAAAAGCGCTAAAATCATCAAAATACCAAATATAGGGAGGTATCGTTATATGGGGGCTATACGAAGATGTGGACCTATTCAGACAATTTTCTGTCTTAGGCTGTATTATCTATTTCGAACTTCAAATACAAAATTTGAAACAATTCCGGAGCATAATGTCGCTAAAATCATCAAAATACCGAATATTGGGAGGTACTGTCATATGGTGGCTATACGAAGACGTGGACCTACATGACCCATTTACGAACTTAACCTGCCTACTGGAAAACTAAACACGGCATGGCCGGCATTTCACAAATCAATGCTTCAAAGTTATCATCCAATGTGTCAATTGAAGCGGGTTCGTCGGACCTATAGACATGAACTTTAACACAGACCCACCAAAAAAGTGTAAAGGCGTTAAATCGCATGACGAAGGGGCCAATTGACCAGTCTTGAATGTGAAACAAAACGTTCACCGAACTCGTGTGCTGCGCGGCCGTATTGTTGAAACTTACAAGGCAGTCGCTGTGGTACTTTGGATAAAAAAAAATTAATTAATATCATTTCACGTTACGATTTGCAGCATCGTTGAAGTAGTACGGTCCAATGATGCCCCCAGCCCATAATCCGCACCAAACTATGATTTTTATACCCTACACCACAAGGTGGTCAGGGTATTATGTCTTTGTGCATTTGTTTGTAACAGGCAAATGGAAGCGAGATATACGCATAGTTCCTTTTGATGATCTGCATAGAATCACATTCTGGGTCGATTTATGCATGTCCGTCCGTCCGTCTGTCCATGTATTTTTGTAAACAAAGTACAGATCGCATTTATTATACCCTACAACACTATGTGTTGGGGGTATTATAAGTTTGATTGGGCCAGAATTTATGTAACACCTCGAAATATTGGTTTTCCATATAGGAAAGTATATATGGATCTTCCTCGCTCGCCGAGCTGAGTCGATCTAGCTATGTCCGTCTGTCCATGTTAATTTGTAATCACTCTACAGGTCGCAATTATGGTCCGATCTTCACGAAATTTAGAATGGAGGTGGGGCTAGGGTCAGAATAGAGCCCTATTTCTTTTGGAGATGATCGCCAAATGTTTAGGGGTTGAAATGGACCAAATACTGAAAAAATGTCGGATTTTGCAGTAGCTATACAGGTCGCATTTATAGACCAATCGACGAGGAATTTCGCATGTAGCTAGAGTTTAGGGCGGGGAAGAAGCCTACCAATTTGGGTGGTCATCTGTCATGGTATGTCCGTTGGTCGGTCCATTTCTTCCGGTACCTCCCCCACAAAGGGTAAAAAATTTGAATATTCATGAATCTCATAGAACACGAAAGTAACATCCGATTCCATTCAGACTTGGTACATGTCAATATGTCCATCCACACAAAATCTGTTATAAAGATGAGAGAGATCGGACCATTTCTTGTGGTACCTCCAGCACGTAGGGTTCAAGATTTGAAAAACAAAATGCCCAAAGAAAGAGATACAGGGTTGCCCATATTCGACGGACCCATCTGGCAACGCCATAACTTTTGACAGAGATGTCACATCGCTTAATGACACACCGCGTTTGAAGCGTCAGTTCAAGCAGATTTTTACCATGAACCAATACAAGCCACGCGAGTTCTCTGAAATAGTTGAAATTTACAAGAAGTCAATTGTGAAAACTCATCGTGCTTTTAAAACATTAAAAAATGTGAGAAGTGCGCCTTCTAAGAACAACATTAAGCGTTTATACGAAAAATTTTCGACTGGTAAGGCTCTTTCTAATCCGAAGAGGCCATATAAAAGTCGACCAAGGCGATCGGCCGAGAATATCGCTGCCGTACGAGCCAGTGTTGAGAGGTCCCCAAGAACATCCCAAAAACGCCGTTCTCAGCAGTTGGGGATGGTGGACCGAGTTCCACTTTACAACGGATTATTCGCATTGATTTGCATTTGTTCCCGTACAAAATTCAATTGACGCAACGAATGTTGCCTGCGGACAAGCCTCGTCGATTGGAATGGGCCCAAAGGTCCGTCGAATATGGGTAACCCTGTATAAGCATCCAACTCTCATCAAATTCCACACATACAAATATTTTTGCTAACGCAAGACCTGTTGTGAATATGATATATATCTGCCAACCCCTTCTGGCCACAAAGGGTCACAATACCCAATACTTGCGAAACACGTCGACGATTCTTTACAGCTTGCAGCCATGAATCTTGGCTTGCAGCCATGAACCTGTCATGAAAATGTAATTAATCGGAATTTATAAAATACAAATGGATACAAATGTTTAATTTTCTTTAAATTTTGCAAAAATCTGTATTAGATGAAGTGGAATACTTCGTTCCGCTATATCTGTTACCCCACACATATTTCCACATTTTCCAAAAATTTGCTCATAGCTCATATACTGTATAGGAAGTAGTCGAGATCCTTCTTGGTTCAGATACGAATTGTTCAATATTGGACAACAGCTTCGGAACCTCCCCCATAAGGGTCAACACAGTTTGAATAATTGTAACTCAAGGCTGGAGGTATACATTTGTCGGCAAAATCGACTGATACTATTTAACTTTTTTTTTTAAACATTTTATTACTAAAACCGCACACACCAAATTTGTTTTCACAATTATTTTTACTTTCTCCCCGAACGCCACACGTCGACATCCGTTTTCAAACAACGCCTAAAATCATAATCACATATACCCAAAGAGTAGGTGGAATTGGCTGCCTTGAAAATGTGTAAACCGCGACCAATTTTTTTAACAATTCCCGTACTTAATGCCACTTTTCGATCGTGCTGTCGCGGGTCTCGTTCTACAATAAATTCAATGCCTCTCAGTCGCAGACTACCTTGAATATCCCTCAAGTTAGCATCATTGCCCACGCGATTTGTGAGCAGTTTAACAAATTTCAAGCGCGGACATTTCTTCACCGCCATCTCTAAGAATATAACTAAATTCTCTACTTGATATGGTCGCTGGAGATAGGGTTCCTCCAAATAGATTTCATGAACATCTGCCTCAAAATATTCACCAATTAGCGTTTCATAGCTATGACCTTGCGAGTCTTCCTGTATTTGCGTGGACTTGAGAAATTCTCCAGTTTTAAGAAGTTTTTCTACCTGAGCGTATACGCTTTTGGAGCGTTCAATATATTGCAGGATATGTTCGTAATAACGTTTGACAGTTCGAGTATTTCTTGTGTTGTTGACAAAATCTCGTAACAGCTCGATGCCCTTGCAATAGTAATGCTGGGACTCTAAGAAACGTCTGTCGCGCTCGCTGTGTATCGCCTTCAATAGGATTTCGTGTGGATTAATTTTTTTTCGGTTGTTCTTCGTTGGAGATTTTCTGATTTTTTGAAAAACAAAATAATTTGAAATAGATATTTTGAACGTAAATGACATTAAGGTAATCGACATATATACATATAGATATGTACGCACGAGTATATGTGACAAATAAATGGCTGAATATGTGAAAAAATCGCATAATTATGTTGAAGTGAAGAGATGGATTTTTTGAGGCAGATTTTTTTTTGGAAATCCTAAGCTACTGAAAGCTACTAACATTGCACCCATGGTATTAAGGGATAATACGAGTTTTAGACCCCACAAATTATATATATTTAAGGTAAGCATAAGATCCTATATCCAACCGCCTGTCTGCTCCTAGGTGGATAAACTTTCACTCAAATGTATACTAGCTCCGTATACCTCATATATATATAAGAGTAGAGTGGTGACTGGGTGACTGACGGGGTTCATCAACGCCCAGGTGAAATGGCTGAAGCTACAATCTTGAAATTCTACATGTAGTCAATGTTGGTGTGTAGGGGTAGGATAGGGCTAGGGCTCCTAAAATTCGGTGTGATGAAAAAACTGCAACCAACTTCAGACTGCTGCCATTTCTAAGCCACTCGTCCGACAGCTGTTAAAATTATTCTACTGACAGCTCATTTTATTGTTTACAAGCGTACAAAAGTATTTCGGTGAGAATTTTCTAGAAGTTACCCCTGATGGAATTCAAGCGAGGTAGTGTGATTTCTTTATGTTTGACTGGAAAACCAAAAGTGGCTATCGTTAGGTCATTCCAGCACTTAAATGTGAATAAATCTTTTGTGTCTCGTAACATCGTTCGTTACCGTGATACTGGTGGCGTAGACCGACGTCAAGGAAGTGGACGGAAGTAAACAGCAACAGCATCAGCAGAAATGGTTCGAAAAGTAGAGGAGCGACTTGATCGAAACCCGAGTCGCAGTGGCCGAAAAATGGCTCGTTAGCTGAACATATCGCAATATTCCATTCGGCTTCAGAATAAATGAAACATTCTGGAGGGTGCATTAAAGCCTTAAGGGCTAAGTACATAAGAAGCTTGAAGTCATGGCACGGCCTATTTTGTGACATTTCACAAAGGAATTACAGAGCCGCACTAAAATCCTGCCGTCGTTTTTCATTATAATTTGGCATTAATATGCCTAGCCATGGCTTCAAGCTTTTTATGTAAGCAGCCTAAGGTTGCAAAGGCACGCAAAAATTTTGGCCGCAGACCTTGGACATTCCAACAGGACTCAGCGCCATTGCAGTCAGCACGCGCCACCCAAGAATGGTTACAAAATGAGGTTCGTCGCTTCATTCCCAGCGCACAATGGCAACCAAAATCTCACCTTGTATATTCTTAAATTCAGCTTAAAATTCTTAGACGATTCACGATATCGTATAGCCCCCATAAGACGGTACACCCCAATATTCGGTATTTTGATAATTTTTCCCATGCTCTTCAATGAAATTGTCTGAAAAATCACACAAGCAGTCCGTTGTGAGTACTTTATCCCCTGGAAGAGAATAATCTATATAGGTTCACGATATCGTATGGGCCCTATATAACGGTACCCCCCCCCCCCCATAATTCGGTATTTTAATAATTGTTCCAAGTTTTTCAATGGAATTGTCTGAAAAATCAGACAAGGAGTCCCTTGTGAGTACTTTATCCCCTGAAAGAGAATGATCTATATAGGTTCAAGATATCGTATAGCCCCTATATAACGGTACTCCCCGTATTCGGCATTTTGATGATTTTAGCCTCTTCTGAGTACTTTATCCCTTAGAAGAGAATTGTCTAAAAAGGTTTACCTTTTCAAATTTCGTATATAAAATTCGGAACCGTTACTACAGTCTATGACACAAACTACTTATGCAGGACCACGTCTTCGTATAGCCTCCATATAGCGGTTTGCATTCGAACAGTATAAAATAAAAGTTCGGCCCGCGCGAACTTAGCTGCTTTTTATACCCTACAACACTATGTGTTGGGGGTATTATAAGTTTGATTGGGCCAACAATTATGTAACAACACGAAATATTGGTTTTCCACATAGGAAAGTATATATGGATCTTCCTATCTCGCCGAGCTGAATCGATCTAGCTATGTATGTCCGTCTGTTCATGTTAATTTGTAATCACTCTACAGGTCGCAATTATGGTCCGATCTTCACGAAATTTAGAATGGAGGTGGGGCTAGGGTCAGAATAGAGCCCTATTTCTTTTGGAGATGATCGCCAAATGTTTAGGGGTTGAAATGGACCAAATACTGAAAAAATGTCGGATTTTGCAGTAGCTATACAGGTCGCATTTATAGACCAATCGACGAGGAATTTCGCATGTAGCTAGAGTTTAGGGCGGGGAAGAAGCCTACCAATTTGGGTGGTCATCGGATAATATTTAGCGTGTAAAATATACCATATCTTTTTTGTTGAAAAAATTCAAATTTTTTCATTAAACCGCGAATATTTTAAATCCCGGCGAAATCACAAAGCCATGACAAGGTTACTTCTGATCTTTACATTGATGTTAACATACAACAAATCGGATATATAGCAAAATATGTGCGATATATATGTCTATCAAAGAAGATATGCTTGAAAGATCTGTTATATGTCGAGAACGGCTGAACTGATTTCGACAGTTCTCATTAATTCAGAATGGCCTCTTGGCAGGAAAGAAAAAACGTCTAAAAAAATCGCATAAAAATATCTCTCTAAAGATGAAAATATTGATTTTGTAACATTTTTCATATATTTTCAATTTTGTCATATTTTTGACATAAGTATTTTCATTTTTAATTAAACATTTGGTAATATTTCTACAGCTAACAAAACTAAGTAGCTGGGATATCAGGATATCATATACAGATCGCATTTATGACCCGATCCTTACGAAATTTTGCATGGGTATAAGATGAGGGTCAGAATAGAAGCCTTCTCTTTTTGGAGATGATCGCAATATATTTAGGGGTTGAAATGGACCAAAAAACTGCAAAATTGTCAGCAGGTCGTAATTATCGCCCGATCCTCACGCACATTTGAATGGGAGTTACCGGACATTGCAAAAGCCAAGCAGTTTTGGATGGCATACAAAAATATTCAGTGTGCGAAATAGTTTGCCAACTTTTGTAGACAAAATACGAAAATGTCCATTCCAGTGACTCTATGGAGAATTCAAAAATACAGGAAAGACTCACTTCTGACTATTTCGTTAACGCTGATTTCGTGGAAGAATATACTCAAATGTCTGTATCTCATATTGATGCGTTTCAGTCAAAAACCACTTCTGAGAAATTATAGGTCTTCGGGAAATATTGGTTCCAGATCTAGGAAGACCATTTACGTGCAACATCTACCAATAAATTGGAAATGAGGAAATTAGTTTAAGTTGCTATTATTCGAAAATTAGAGAACGAAACCTGATGGTTTTCTTTTATAATTTGTCACAATATCTTGTGGAATTCTTTCGAGTATCTCGCCTATATAAACAGTATCGTTTATTATAGTGTTGTAGGGTATTCAACGGTCGGCCCCGCTCGACTGTAGCCTTTGCTTACTTGTTGCCCTATAAAGATGAAATTTGGCACAAATCATTTGCTTGGCCCAAGGACGAATCCTATTGAAATTGGAGATAATCGGTCAAAATTTAGATATAGCTCCCATATATATCTTCGTCCGATTTGCTTTTTTTTTGTGCACCAAACGTGTAATATCAGTCCGAATAGTATGGAATTTTGCACGTACGATCAGATTGGGCCTGAAAATAAGTATGCCAAATTTGATCGATATCTTAATTTGATTTCAAATTAATTGTGCACCCAATATACAATACAAGTCCGAATTTCAAAGATACAAATGCATATTTAGTCCTTTGAACTTTAAATTATAATGATAATCATAGGGTGTATGAATGAATTCTCCCATAAAAACTTTTAATTGATATGCGCAGCTCTTCTAAATTAGCAATTGGTTTCTGGATGCATTTATAACATTTGCATTGCTTCTGGCTGATATTCAAAACTGAGAATTCAGCTTATTTACATACCCATGGAGCCAAAAATGGGCATCGGATAATAGCTAAGACATCACTCTTTTTATAAAAAAAATTGCATTGTGTTAGTCATTGATGTTCTCTGGAATGCAAGAACCGATTTTGTTTCCGTAAACTTCTTATAAAAAAGTGATGTCATTGCCACGGTTTATATGTATGAACAATTCCTGTACGTGTATTGATTGCATTTCAGTGCAATCATTTCGAAACATGTCCAGTAAGTGATAAACGCATGCAACCAGGCCAGGCGAAATGGCTGAAGCTAAAATCTTGAAATATAGCAAATGAGTCAATGTTGAAAAGTCTGAGTTTTGTGCTAAAAGTTCTAAAAGGTACTACATATTTAAGCCCTCGTATTGGTCAAACGGATAAAAATTTGGAACTCTGAAAGTTCGGTTTTTGTGTTATCTGCAAATTGTCAGTTGATTTCATCTAAATATATAGCCCTCCATTCATAAACATTCCAGTGTAGGTACTCTTTTGACTTTCGGTACTTTGAAGCTTTTAGACCCAATTTGCTCTGCATAATACTACGTTCTAATACTATACGATACGTTCTAATTTTCTATCGATTTCGCAGTCAAAAACGAGTAAGGAAAGGTTAAAAGTCGGGCGGGGCCGACTATGTGATACCCTACTATAAACTTCACCAGCCGGAATGAATTTGGCAATTTCCAAAAAAAAAAAATTCTGTCAAAATCTTAACAATAAAAAAGCAGTAAGTTCGGCCTGGCCGAACTTTGAATACCCTCCTCCATTTAGAACAAATTTGAAAATTTTCGAAAAAGATAACATTCGCCAAAAATTCTGTTAACATTTTAAAATTAACGAATATAGCCGTTATATTATCACCTGTACGACGTGCACCTACATAGGCATTGTTTGTCACAAGCCATTACCATATTCAAATTCGAAACTTGAAACAAACGGTGAATAATATAGCCAAAATCATCAAAATACCGTACAAAGGGAGGTACCGTTATATAGGAGCTATACGAAGACCTGGACCTGTATAGACAATTTTCTGTCACAGGCTGTAGCTTCCATTACGAACTTCAAATACGACATCTCAAACAATTTCGGTGAGTATTGTACATAAAATCGCCAAAATACCGAACATAAGGAGGTACTGATATGTGGGGCCTATACGAAGACCTGGACCTGCATATGCAATTTTCTATCACAGACTGTAGTACCCATTACGAACTCTAAATACGTAATTTGAAACTACTACGGTGAATAATGACGCTAAAATCTTCAAAATACCGAATATTGGGAGGTACCGTTATATGGGGGCTATACGAAGACGTGGACCTGCATAGACAATTTTCTGCCTTGGGCTGTAGTATCTATTTCGAACTTCAAACACCAAATTTGAAACAATTCCGGTGAATAATGTCGCTCAAATCATCAAAATACCGAATAAAGGGGAGGTATCATTATATTGGGGCTATACCAAAACGTGAACCTGCACAGACAATTTTCTGTCATAGGCTGTAGTATCCATTACCAACTTCAAGTAGCAAATTTGAAAGAATTCCGGTGAATAATGTCGTTAAAGTCATCAAAAATATTGAATATCGGGAGGTACCCACATATGAGGGTCATACGTAGACGTGGACCTGCACAGACAATTTTCTGATATAGGCGTTATTATACATTACGAACTTTAAATACCAAAGTACCCTTGGACCGACATTTTCAATACCAAAAGTCCTGCAGAAATATATTTGAGTAAAAGTTAATCAACTTACTTTATTTCGCTCGGATGATGGATCTCGATAAAATCTGGCAGAGGTATTTTCGAGCTGTATCTGATGCTCGGTATCAAATAACATTGTTGTGGAGTAGATATTACGCATGTGCGGGACTTTGACACCAAATCGGATGAAACATATGAACAGATTTTCACTAAAATCTGAAGTACTTGCTACTGGGCTGAATTCTGTCGGTAGTGGGCTGATATTAGCCATTTGGTGCACAATAAACCTGAAATCGGACAAAGATATATATGGGAGCTCTATCCAAATCATGAACCGATCTTAGGTACATTTAAGGCACTAGGCTGTATCTGATATCTGGTACCAAAGATCAATGTTGTGGAGTGAAGATTACCCATGCGAGGGACTTAAAACACCAAATCGAATGAAACATATGTATGGAAGCTATAGCTACATATATCTGAACCGATTTTCAGCAAAATTTGTAGCACTTGTTTTTAGACTGAATTCCATCGGAAGTGCCAAAATTCAGTCCATTTTGGGTTGATATTAGCCATTTGGGGCACAATAAACCTGCAATCGGAAAAAAGGTATACCCAATCTTTATACCCAAATCTGAACCGATCTGGAAGGTATTTGACAGAGGTTTTTCTGACCTGAATCAGACATCTGTTACCAAAGATTAACATTGTGTAGTGCATATTACGAATGTAAGGGACTTTAACACCAAATCGGATGAAAAATATATATGGGAGCTACAGCTATATTTAAACCGATTTTCACCAAATTTGTAGTGCTTGCTTCTAGACTGAGTTCGGTTGGATGTGTCAAAATTCTGGTCATTTGGACTGATATTGACCATTTGCTGCACAATTAACTCGAAATCGGTTGAAGATATAAATGGGAACTATATCTAAATTTGGACCGATTATCACCTTGGGCCGACCTGCATTTTGTTCACAAAAGTACATGGACAGACGGACCAACATTCCTAAATCGACTCCGAAACAAATGCACAAAGACATACCTAGACCACTATGTGATGTAGGGTACAAAAATGAAACGGCCAATGACCTTGGAATAATTTTAGAAAAAAAACCAAAAAATTTTTTTCAAATATTTGCCAAATATATCAGCAAAGGCTATCAGCAAAATAAAGACACTCACAGAGCCTCTATACAATGCTAAATTCGGCTAGTCGTTAAACAAATCTCAACGCTAAAATATGGATCGCCCTATTTTCGCTGTTGTGACGGTATAACCTTTAAAAAAGAAAGGAAAAGAAAAGAAAGCAATATTTTAATTCTCATCCCAATTTCAGCTGTTACTTCTCGCATTTTTAACTCCAACAACATCAAATCCCACAAAATGTCGCACCGAAATGTGTGCCCAACAACTGATGGAAACTATGGATCTGCTCTATCGCCAGAGTGCTTTGGAAATTTTCCAATCCCATCACCATCACGATGTCAATCCGGAACTTTTGATATGGCAGCAATTACTACCCTTTCTGGAGATGGTGGAACAGTTCGAATGGTCCAGTTTTCAAAGTCCTCTGCTGAGAAGGCAATTTGAAATTTTAATCAGGGAACTTAACTTTGCCCGCCAAGCCTCCAACAAAGACTTTGTTGTGGCCTCTAAAGTTTTGCGGGGTGTGGGTAAACATAAATTCATGTATCACCGCAGAGCGGCCAATAAAAGCAATCCACCTCCCCACGAACTGGTCTCCTATGTTCGCAACATCAAATCAATCATAACCAATAGCAATGACTTGCAAGAAGTCAAATGGTATTGGCGTGAATGGCGTAATCGCCTGCCAATGGATGTGAAGAATGCTCTCAATGTCTACATACAATATTATCAGAATATGTCAACAGTGGAAAAGCCTGCCTCCAGTATTTGGTATGCTCAATATGAAGATCCAAAATTTATGGAAAAATTGGAAAAAGTTATGGAGGCGATAATGCCTCTCTATCAGCAGCTGCATGGCCAGTTGAGACAGACCTTGTGGAAGAAATATGGTGATGCCATCATACCCTCGACGGGCCTCATTCCCCACCATCTAATGGAACAAGCTCTCTATGAGGCCTGGAAAAAGGATTCGGTTTTCGGTAATCCCTATCCCGACAAGAAATTGCCAAATCTCAAACAAGAATTGGATGGCAAGCGATTTGCTCCATTGGATTTTATTACAATTGGAACGAAATTCTTTGAGAGAATTGGATTCGATCGTCTGACGGAGTAAGTATCAAATGTTAGTGAAAAGTTATAGCGCCGGTCACTGAAGGTCTGTAATAAGTTGGAAAGCTTCAAAAGCTTTTCCGAGCAATTTTTAAAAGCTCAGCATTTGAACATATATTTCTATACCCTCTTTTGAGAGCGAAACTTAAGGATTGGACATACATGCACATATGGGCAGAAAAACAGGTGCGCAATTTTTATACCCTCCACCTAGGAAAGGAGGGTATATTAACTTTGTCATTCCATTTGTAACATCTCTAAATATTCATCGTAAACCCCATAAAGTATACGCAGGGTGAGATTAAAAAACTGCAACCAATTTCAGACTGTTGTCATTTCTAAGCCACTCGTCCGACAGCTGTTAAAATTATTCCAGTGACAGCTCATTATATTGTTTACAAGCGTACAAAAGCATTATGGTGAGAATTTCCCACAAAAAAAGTTATTCGTGATGGAATTCAAGCGTGATAGTGTGATTTCCTTATATTTGGCTGGAAACCCACAAGTGGCTATCGTTAGAGAACTCCAGCATTTAAATGTGAATAAATATTCTGTGTCTCGCACCATTGCTCGTTAACGTGATACTGGTAACATAGCCCGACGTCAAAGAAGTGGGCGGAAGAAAACAGCAACAGCATCAACAGAAATGGTTCGAAAAGAAAAGAAGCGAGTTGATCGAAACCCGCGTTGCAGTGGCCAAAAAATGACTCGTGAGCTTAACATTTCGCAATATTCCACTCGGCAAATATTGAAAAATAAGCTCGGGGTAAAGCCATTGAAATTCCACAAAGTGCAAGAACTTACACCGCAACAGAAAGAAAACAGCTCTTTTGAGTAGCTAAAGAGTTCCTTCGCTTGGCCAAAAGTCGTGAACTGCCGAATTTAGGTTTCTCCGATGAGAAAACATTCGTTGTCCAGCAGTTTGTAAACAAACAAAATGATCGTCTTTACTTGCCAAAGAGGTCAGCTGAAAATGTGCACCTTCCTTTGGCCACCAGAGCTCAAGCACCGACAATGGTGATGGTGTGGCCCGCCATAACAGCCAATGATAGCTCTCCTCTCGTATTAATCGACCGTGGCATCAGAATAAATAAAACATTCTGGAGGGTGCATTAAAGCCTTGGACACGTAAAAATTTTGGCCGCCGACCTTGGACATTCCAACAGCACTCAGCACCATCGCACTCAGCACGCGCTACCCAAGAATGGTTACAAAATGAGGTTCCTCCCTTCATTTCCAGCGCATTTCCGTTGGACTATTGTGTCTGGAGAATTTTGGAAAGCAAGGTTAGCACTAAAAAATACGAAAGTGTCGATCACCTCAAGCAAGCGCTTCGCCGGGAATGCGCCGAAATACCGCAGAGCAACATTCGGACAGCGTATGACGGTGCCATTGGCCGTTTAAAGGTCATAATTCGTGTCAAAGGTGACCAATTTGAACAAATCTAAAGTTATTCTAAAATCCAGAAATTAAGCGCCGACCATGATGATAATGTGGGCCGCCATAACAGCCGATGGTCGCTCTCCGCTCGTATTAATCGACCGTGGCATCAGAATAAATGCCGAATATTATCGCGCAGACCTTGGACATTCCAACAGGACAAAGCACCATCGCACTCAGCACGGGCCACCCAAGAATGGTTACAAAATAAGGTCCCTCGCTTCATTTCCAGTGCACAATGGCCGCCAAAATTTCCGGATACCAATCGGTTGGACTATTGTGTCTGGAGTATTTTGGAAAGCAAGGTTGGCACTAAAAAATACCAAAGTGTCGATCACCTCAAGCACGGGGAATGGGCCAAAATACCGCAGAGCAAAATTCGGGCATAGTGTGACGGTTTCATTGACCGTTTAAAGGCCATAATTGGATTTTATACTTTTATGTCAAGAAGGCATTCTGAATTGACAAAATTTGTCAAAATCGGCCCGGCCATTCTTGAAATATATGTATTCTAACTAACATCCAATTCCTTTGTACATACACATTGTTAATATTTCGCCATATATACCCGATATATTTACTATTTGCACGTAATGGTCAGAATTGACCTGTTCGCCTATTTGTGAATTCGCCGGGACTAAAAATATTCGCGGTTTAATGGAAAATTTGACTTTTATTTAACGCAAATGTTATGGTCTATTTCACCCACTAAATATTACCCGATGACCATCAAAATTGGATGGCTTCTGCCCCATGCTAACTTCCGGGTCGTTTGGTCTATAGTTGCGTGCTGTAGAAAAACTGCAAAATCAAAATTTTTCCAGTTTTTGGTCCATTTCAACCCCTAAATATTATGCGATCATCTCCAAAAGCAATAGGGTTCGATTCTGGCTCTAGCCCCACCTCCATTCTAAATTTCGTAAAGATCGGCCCATAATAGCGAGCTGTAGGGTAATTACAAATTAACATGGACAGACGGACGGACATATATAGCTATATCGAATCAGCTCGGCGAGATAGGAAGACCCATATATACTTTCCTATTTGGGAAACCAATATTTCGAGGAGTTACATAATTTTTGATCCAATCAAACTTATAATACCCCAATGCATGGTGTTGTGGGGAGTAAAAGAACTCAATTGTGTAGAGACTAAAACATTTTCATTCCTTTTTACAGAAACTTTTTGCGTGAGCATTTCCGTTTACACCGCAATGGAGGCCCCGACTGCAAATCGGCACTCTTTACAGCTGGAGAAATTCACATGAAATATTGTCCGAGTGTTAGTTACAAAAAACTGCTAACAACTCATGGAGATATCACCCACATGGAATATGCGATTTTAAGGAACAATATGAGGGTGGGCCTAAATCAAGAGGCCTGTCCCGGTTTTGGTAATGCAATGGCCGAGGCTGTGATACTTTCCGTCTCCACGCCCAAGCATTTGCAACAACATCTAAATCTTCTCAATAACTATACCTATGATGATGAAATGAATATGAATTTCTTGTATCGAATGGTGAGAGATAAGGACCATATATATTTTTTTTTTTTTTGGAATATTTTTTATTTTTCATTTTTTTTTTTCTTGTCATTTTCAGGCTGTCCATGCTTTACTCTCAATACCCACTTATTTGGTTCACGAGAAACTATGGACTGATATATTGGATAAAAAAGTCGATGCGAAAAACATTAATTGCCATTACTGGAATCTAATGGAAAAGTATATGGGTGTTGGACCTTCGTTGGCGACAAATAATAAGTATGACATGCCCTATAAATTCTATGAGGGTTTAGTAGCGGATATCCGAAGTACCAAGTAGGTGAATTAAAGAAATAAATTCGTTAAAGAAACCAGTAAAGAAAGCCTTAAAGTCGGGCGGGCCGACTTCATGATACCCTACACCACTTTGCTAATTTAGTAGAGCTCCAGATAACAATTAAAAGTTTTTATGGGAGAATTCAATCATACACGCTATGATTATAATTATAATAAAAATATATATGGGAGCTATAGCCAAATCGGAACCGATCTCGTTAAAATTTGGCAAAGATATTTCTGAGCTGTATTTGATATATTTCCCTGAATATCGTTGTTACGGAGTGCATATTACGGTTGTGGGTAACAAATATAACAAATCGGATGAATAATATATATGGAAGCTATAGCTATATCTGAACCGATCTTCACCAAATTTGACATACTAGCTTCTACACTCAATTCGGTCACAAGTGCCAAATTCCATCCCATTTGGACAAATATTAGACGTTTGGTGCACAATAAAAGGTAAATCGGACGAAGTTATATATGGGAGCTATATGCAAATCTGAACCGATCTCGATAAAATTTAGCAAATGTATTTCTGAGCTGTATTTGATATATTTCCCCAAATATTGTTGTTGCAGAGTGCATATTACGGCGGCGATGGACAAAATTAACAAATCGGATGAACAATATATATGGGAGCTATAGCTATATCTGAACCGATTTCGATCAAATTTGGCATACATATTTTCAGGCCTAATTTGGGTGTATATGAAAAATTCCATACAATTCGGGCTGATTTTACACGTTTGGTGCGCAATAAAAGGATAATCGGACGAAGATATATATGGGAGCTATATCTAAATTTTGACCGATTATCTCCAATTTCAATAGGGTTCGTCCTTGGGCCAAACAAAAGATCTTTGCAAAATTTCATATGGATCGGGCAATAAATGCGACCTGTACTTTCTTTACAAAAATACATGGACAGACGGACAGACGGACGGACGGACAGACGGACGGACAGACGGACGGACGGACATGCATAAATCGACTCAGAATGTGATTCTATGCAGATCATCAAAAGGAACTATGGGTCAATCTCGTTTCCTTCTGCCTGTTACAAACAAATGCACAAAGACATAATACCCTGACCACCTTGTGGTGTAGGGTATAAAAACTGAGTTGTGGAAGAGAGACAGAGAGAGAGAAAGAGAGAGAGAGAGAGAGGCAGAGAGTCAGAGATCACATTCAAATGTTTATAATCAAACATAAATCATATTTTTAAATGGGTAACATAGATTAGTGCCTTCTGGCCTCTCCCCCACAAATTATCAACATTATGAATAGCCCAATAAATCCCTTCTAACTATTCTTCACTGATTTCACTTCCTACTCATAAACGCAGTTTTTCTTCTATGACACCTCCATTGTCCGATATAATCTCTGCTTTAACTTCTATGAAACCTTACGTTTTTATACCCTCTGCCATATGGCTACAGAGGGTATATACAATTTGATACGGTCAAAACGTGCCTAGGACCAAATCCGTTTCAGAACATTTGGAGTCGATCTAGGGAAGTCCGTCCGTCCGTCTTTCTGCTGGCTGTTGTGCACGATAACTCTCGAAGGGAGTATCCTATTTGGTCCAAAACTTGGTACATCGTAATATTTTTGTCAAACTTAGATGGAGTTCGGTGATGGATAATATCGGTGCACTCCTTTGGTACCTCCCCCATAAAAGAATATTTTTTTTATTTTTTTCAAAGAATATATTTTTTGCACAGAAAGGGAATCGATCATCCGATTTTGCTTCAACTTTGCAAATCCTAATATTTACGTCAGTGCTAGGACAGGTGCGAAAGAGGACAATATCGGTCCACTCCATCAAGTAACTCCCCCACAAAGGGTCAACATTTTCAAGAATTACAACTCTTATAAAATGTGATGTTAGAATCCGATTGTCCTCAAATGTCACACATCCTTATAATTTTATTAACCCAAGATCTGGTGCCAAGATGGAATACATCGGCCCACTCATTCTGGTACCTCCCCCACAAAAGGTCGAATTTTTCAAAAAAAAAAAAAAATAAAATAAAATAAAAATATTTTCTGTACAGAATCAATAATCCGATTTTGTTCCAACATTGCAAATCCCAATATCTGCGTTAGGTCTAGGTCAGGTGCAAAAATGGATAATATCGGTTCACGCCATCAAGTGCCTCCCCCTCAAAGGGTAAAAATTTTGAATAATTATAACTCTTAAACAAGTAAAAAAGCTGTAAGTTGGCCAGGCCGAACTTTGAATACCCTCCACCATTTGGTACGAATTCAACAATTTTCAAAAAAAAAATAAAAGGATTTTAAAATTCTGTTAAAATCGTGTAGCCGTATATTAGAGTCTATATGGCGACATGGACCTGCATAGGCAACTTTTGTCACAAGGCAACTTATATCACAATATTCAAATGCGAAACTTGAAAAAAATCTGTTTATAATGTAGCTAAAATCGTCGAATATAGGGAGGTACCATGGTGGTTATAAAACGTGGATCTGCACACAAAATTTTTTGTCATAGGCTGTTATATCGAACTTCAAATGCGAAATTTGAAACAATTCCGATAAATAATGTCGCTAAAATCATCAAAATACCGAATATCGGGGTGTACCGTTATATGGGGGCTATATGAAGACGTGGACCTGCACAGACAATTTTCTGTCATAGGCTGTAGTATTCATTACGAACTTCAAATGTGAAATTTGAAACAATTCCGGTAAATAGGTTCGCTAAAATCATGAAAATACCGAAGATCGGTGGTACCGTTATATGGGGGCTATACGAAGGCGTAGTCCTGCACAGACAATTTTCTGTGATAGGCTGTAGCATCCATTACGAACTTCAAATACTAAATTTGAAATAGTTCCGGCAAATAATGTCGCTAAAATCATCAAAATACTGAATATTGGGGGGTACCGTTATATGGGGGCTATACGAATACGTAGACCTACATGGCTTATTTTCTGTCTTAGGATGTGGTATCCATTACGAACTTCAAATACCAAAATTGAAACAATTTCGGTAAATAATGTGGCTAAAATGATCAAAATACCGAATATCGGGGGGTACCGTTACATGGGGGCTATACGAAGACGTGGACCTACATTGCCCATTTTCTGTTTTATGCTGTAGTATCTATTAAAAATTTTAAATACCAAATTTGAAACAATTCCGGTAAATAATGTAGCTAAAATCATCAAAATACCGAATATCGGGAGGTACAGTTATATGAGAGCTATCCGAAGACGTGGACCTATATGGCCCATTTTCAATACCAAAAGTCCTGCAGACATAGTACACATTTGAGTAAAATTTTATCAACCTACTTCATTTCGTTCGGAAGCTAGAGTGATTTCCACAGACGGATAGACGGACAGACGGATAGACGGACAGACGGACGGACATTGATAAATCGACATAGAATTTTATGCTGATCAAGAATATATATACTTTGTGGGGTCTAAAATGTATATTTCGAGGTGTTACAAACGGAATGACAAACTTAATATACCCTCCATACTATGGTGGAGGGTATAAAAATGTGATGTAAGAATCCGATTGTCTTACATCCCAATATTTTTACATCCCAATATTTTCTTGTCGCACATCCCAATATTTTTATAAGCCCAAGATCTGGTGTTAAGATGGACTATATCGGTCCACCGCTTCTGGTACCTCCCCCATAAAAGATCGAAATTTTGAATATCCCTTGAGCTCATAAAACGCGAAATTAATATCCGATTCCATTTAGACTTGGCGCATCTGAATATTTCTATCAACACAGGATCTGTTATAAACCGGTAGAGATCGGACCATTTCTTCTGATACCTTCCCCACATAGAGTTCAAGATTTTAAAAAAACAAAACGCTCAAAGAAAGCGAAATAAGCATTCAACACTCTTCAAATTTCACACACACAAACATTTTTGCTAACACAAGATCTGTTGCGAAGATGCTATATATCTGCGAACCCCTTCTGGTACCTTACCTACAAAGGGACAACAATTTCAATACTTTTATCTGTCATAAATTGCGAAACAACTCAGCGATTCTTTACAAATTGCTGTATTTAAATATATGTCTCTCATCCAGAATCCTGAGATAAATATGGAATTTATGATTTTCCATAAATTGGATATAAATGTTCGATTTTCTTGTAATATTGCCCATACCAATATTTTTATCTGTATTAGATGAGGTACGAAATTGGAATATATAGGTTGAATACATGTGGCACCTCGCACACACTTTTAACATTTTCTAAAAATTAGCACATACCTCATATAAAGTGAAAGAAGCCATCAATATGGTACAAATCTGGCACGTCGCAATATTTGTCGGTAAAACCGACTGATATGTTCTAACTTGTTGACTTATAATTTCTAAATTTTTAATTCGATTCTAGAAAACTTTTTGGTGAATTTTTGGGCTATGAGATATATCGCGATATTTGTCTGGAAATCGGCCAATATCAACGAGGAAATAAGGCTAAGCCATTGTTTAAATGCGATTTTGCTGAAAACCAACAAGCTGGACAAAGGTTAAGGTAATTGATTTTTTTTTTTTTTTTTTTTTTCAAAAATATATTTCAATTAATCGTGTCTTTTGATACTTGAAATTCCGGATTAGAAACATGATGAACTCGGGTTCCGCAAAGCCATGGCATGAAATTATCAAAGAATGGACATCGACTCAGCCAACAAAGTTGAATGCATCGCCCATGTTGGAATACTATGAACCACTGACGACTTGGATGACCGAATATAATAGGTTGCATAATATTACAGTGGGTTGGCAGCACACCGAATGTAAGCTGGATACAACATTTCTCCCCTTACAAAAAAAAATTAAGATGATACATGTAATTCCTATTTTTTTCAGTTTGCCATTGAGGATTTATACGTACAATATCGGAATATAATGAATAAAAACTAAAATTTATAATTAGGGCTGCCATAGAAACCAATTTTGTCACTATTGGTTTTAAAAACGACAAGAAAAAATGTTTTGGTTAGAATTTTATCGGTTTTGGTTGTCATAGAAGCTAATGTTATTGGTTTTGTTATTGGAAATAAATCAAGTTGCTTAGAGCTGTCACTTTTCATTTGCTTTGAATTTTTTAAACAATTTTTAAAGGACTAAAAATGTGGATTTTTTAAACAATTTTTAAAGGACTATAGACGTGAATTTTTTAAAGAATTTTCAAAGGACTATGGACGTGGCTTTTTTAAAGAATTTTCAAAGGACTATGGACGTGGATTTTTTAAAGAATTTTTAAAGGACTATAGACGTGGATTTTTTGAAGAATTTTTAAAGGAATATAGACGTGGATTTTTTAAAAAACTTTTAAAGGAATATAGACGTGGATTTTTTAAAGAATTTTCAAAGGACTATAGACGTGGATTTTTTTTGAAGAATTTTTAAAGGACTATAGACGTGGATTTTTTAAACAATTTTTAAAGGACTATAAATGTGGATTTTTTTTTGAAGAAATTTTAAAGGACTATTTTGAAGAATTTTTAAAGAATTTTTAAAGAACTATAGATGTGGATTTTTTTTGAAGAAATTTTAAAGGAATATTTTGAAGAATTTTTAAAGAATTTTCAAAGGACTATAGAAGTGGATTTTTTAAAGAATTTTTAAAGGACTATAGATGTGGATTTTTTTTTTTGAAGAAATTTTAAAGGACTATTTTGAAGAATTTTTAAAGAATTTTCAAAGGACTATAGACGTGGATTTTTTAAAGAATTTTTAAAGGACTATAGATGTGGATTTTTTTTTTTTGAAGAAATTTTAAAGGACTATTTTGGAGAATTTTTAAAGAACTATAGATGTGGATTTTTTTGAAGAAATTTTAAAGGACTATTTTGAAGAATTTTTAAAGAATTTTCAAAGGACTATAGAAGTGGATTTTTTAAAGAATTTTTAAAGGACTATAGATGTGGATTTTTTTTTTTGAAGAAATTTTAAAGGACTATTTTGAAGAATTTTTAAAGAATTTTTAAAGAACTATAGATGTGGATTTTTTTTGAAGAAATTTTAAAGAATTTTTAAAAGTTATTCAAAGGACTATCAACGTGGATTTTTTAAAGAATTTTTAAAAGTTATTTAAAGGACTATCAACGTGGTTTTTTCAAAGAATTTTAAAAGGATATTTAATGGGCTATAAACGTGGATTTTTGAAAGAATTTTCAAAAGGATATTTAAAGGACCATAAACGAACATAAATGAAAACCGCTATATTGGGGCTATACGAAAATGTGGTTCTGCATAAGTACGAAATTTGAAATAATTCCGGTGAATAATGTCGCAAGAATCATGAAAATACTGAATATTTGGGAGTACGTTATATGAGCGCTATCCTAAAACGTGAATCTATATAGACAATTCTCTTCTAAGGGGTAAAATATTCACAAGGATCCCCCTGTGTGGATTTTAAGACAATACCATTGAATATTTTGGCTGAAATCATAAAAATATCGAATATTGGGGATGTACTGTTATATGGGAGCAATACGATATCCTGGACCATTTGGATAATTAATTCTCTTCCAGGAGATAAAGCACTCACAAGGAATTCCTTGTAGATGGTGGACAATAATCGTAAAATCGGATGAAGATGCATAGCGAAGGTCTACAAAAATCTGGACTGATATCGATGAAATTTGTCAGAGAAATTTCCGAGCTGTATCTGATGCCCGGTATCAAAAATCTTTGTTTTGGAGTGCATATTATGCATGTGAAGAACTTAAAACCCCAAATCGGAAGAAACATATATATGGGTGCTAGAGATATATCTAAACCGATTTCACCAACATTTAAAGCACTTGCTTCTGGGCTAAATTTGGTTAGATGTGCCAAAATTCAGTCCATTTGGGCTGATATTACTATTTTGGTGCACAATAAACCTGATATCGAATAAAGAGCCATATCCAAATCTGATAAAATGCGACAGAGGTATTTCTGGGCTGAATCGATTTTCACCAAATTTGATGTCCTTGCTTCTAGATTGAATTCGGTCGGATGTGCCAAAACCCAGGTCGTTTGGACTGATATTGGCCATTCGGTGCACAATAACCCCTAAATCGGTTGCATATATACAGGGTGAAAAGGTAAAATAAACTGCAACAAAGTCAAATGCCATAATTTTTAATTTTTTTTTTTAAATTTTATTAAATGAAAAAAATGTCGGAAATAGCATCAAATTTTAGAATAAGTTTAGATTTGTTCGAATTGGTCATTTTGGACACGAATTATGGCCTACAAACAGCCAATGAAACCTTACACACTGCCCGAATGTTGCTCTGCGGTATTTTGGCCTATTCCCGGCGAAGCGCTTGCTTCAGGTGATCGACACTTTGGTATTTTTTAGTGCCAGCCTTGCTTTCCAAAATACTCCAGATACAATAGTCCAACGGTTTAGTATCCGGACATTTTGGTGGCCATTGTGCGCTAGAAATAAAGCGAGGAACGACATTTTGTAACCATACTTGTGGCGCGTGCTGAGTGCGATGGTGCTGAGTCCTGTTGGAATGTACAAGGTCTGCGGCTAAAATGCTTGCGTGCCCAAGGCTTTAATACACCATCCAGAATATTTTCGCGATAATACTCGGCATTTATTCTGATGTCACGGTCGATAAATATGATCGGAGAGCGACCATCGGCTGTTGTGGCGGCCTGCACCATCATCATGGCTTGAGATCTGGTGGCCAACTGAAAGTGCACATTTTTAGCTGACCTAGTAAACACGATCATTTTGTTTGCTTACAAACTGCTGGACAACTAATGTTTTCTCATCGGAGAAAACCTAATTCGGCAGTTTACCACTTTCGGCCAAGCGAAGCAACTCTTTAGCTCTTTTGAGTCTATTTTCTGTTTGTTGCGGTATAAATTCTTCCCCTTTTGTGAATTTCAATGGCTTTACCCCGAGCTCATTTTTTAATATTTGCCGAATGGAATATTTCGATAAGTTCAGCTCGAGAGCCATTTTTCGGCCACTGCGACGCGGGTTTCGATCAAGTTGCTTCTTAACTTTTCGAACAATTTCTGCTGATGTTGCCGTTTTTACCGTACACTTCCTTGACGTCGGGCTACGCTACCAGTATCACGGTAACGAGCGATGATACGAGACACAAACGATTTATTCACCTTTAAATGCTGGAGAACTCTAACGGTAGCCACCTGTGGTTTGCCAGCCAAATATAAAGAAATGACACTATCACGCTTGAATTCCATCACGAATTACATTTTTCTGGAAAATTCTCACCAAAATAATTTTAACAGCTGTCGGACTAGTGACTTGGAAATGACAGTAGTCTGAAGTTGGTTGCAGTTTTTCATCTCAGCCTGTAATGCTCGAATTTCCCAAAGGCTCTTTGATACATCTTCTACACTTCTACAATTCACCAATGACTCCTCATTCCTAACTTCAGAATATGCCCAATACAAATGATAGGATATATAGTACATTTCGTACCCTTCCAGTGTGAATTTTCAAAAACCCTGCCTTTTCCTATATCTCGCCCTGAGATAGACCATCACCCAAAATTTCAGTATTCTTACTTCAGCCATTTCGTCTGGCTGTTGATAGTCGGTCATTGACATATTTTGGAAATATGTAAGTATGTTTATTTTTGTAGCACAGTGTAAATATATAAACATAGATATATTGAACATTTACAAAAAATCTGAACCTATTTCCCATCCCCAAAAGCCTAATTAAAAATTAAGATAATCTATAATCCGCCCCAAGAACTCAAAATAATTGTAGCACAGTGTAAACTCTAAGTTGCATTATCGGTATTATTGTTGACTGCAAAATTATCATTTCATATTCTCAGAATGCCGACCTTGTTCATATCGAACATGATTGTCCATTTCCACACACACACAACGCACATTTCTCTCCAACGTTTGGGAAACTCTGACAAAGCAAAGCAAAGGTTATCAATAAACAATTAAAAAAAAACATTCCAATTTGAAATGCTGTTTAGTTTTCAAATGAAATCGAAATTTTCAATTTAGTTCTAATCTGGTGGCTGGATTGCAAACATTTGAAAATAAAAAAATACCGAGACTGGCTGACAATGAATACAATTTGTCTCAAGGTAAGAGGAAAACATCAGACATTCTAGAAATGATGTAGTAAGGTTTTCCAAAATTTCTCTTTTCCCAGCCCTTGGCATTTCTTGCCATCTGTTTTCTGGCATGCTCGGTGCAAGCGGAATATAGACCCAATTGTTTTAATGAAACATGTGCCCGTTGGCTAATGAAGGACGTGAATCAAGTGTATTTGGAAAGTGCCACCGCTTATCGCCAATTCGCAGACGATGTTCTAAGTCCGGAAATCCTGATGCGTGAAAAGCTGCGTCCATTCTATGACAAAATGCAAAAATTCAATTGGCAACATTTCCAAGATCCCCTGCTGCGCCGTCAATTCGAAGTTTTGCTTCGCGGTGAGAAATATCCCCCCATGACCTATGACTTCAAGCGGGCCACCCACACCCTTAAGACCATGGCTAAACAGAAGTTTGTCTGCAATCGCCAAAAACTCAATGCATTTCCGGGTCGCAGATGCTCCGACATGGCCTACATACATCACATCAAATCGGTGATCACGAACAGCGATGACCTGGAGGAGATCCAATGGTATTGGGCCGAATGGCGTAACCGCATGCCTGCAGATGTTAAAGAAGCTCTCCACTACTACATCCACTATTATCAGAATATGTCGACACCGGAAATGCCTGCCTCGGCCGTGTGGTATGACCAGTATGAGGATAGCAACTTTATCGATGAATTGGAAGAGTTGATGGAGTCCATCCAGCCATTCTATCGTGAAATGCACGCCCACTTGAAACATGCCCTGCGTGTCAGATATGGTGATGATATAATACCCGAGTCGGGTCTTATACCACATCATTTGATGGAACAGGCCATGTATCAGTCGTGGAAGAAACAGAGCGTCTTGCGCAATCCTTTCCCGCAGCGAAAGTTACCGAATGTCCAACAAGAATTGGATGATCTGGAATGGTTCCCATTCGATTTGGTCAACATCAGTTGTCGTTTCTTCAGTTCCATGGGATTCACCAATTTGACGGAGTGAGTATAGAATAATCTGGTGGTGTAGAGGCAGGATTTTGAGGTATTTTTTATATAGGAGACGTTGTGAAGGTTTTCTCCTCGTGGAAGACCCTCTGAAGGTCTTTTCTTTATTCTTCGGAACGTTTTCTCTACATATAAGACCCTCTATAGGTCTTCCCTACATATACGACTTTCTGGAGTTCTTCTCCACACAGAAGCTCTTCTGGACGTCTACACAGAATACCTTCTGGAGGTCTTTCCTATATAGGAATCCTTCTGGAGGTCTTTCTATAAAAAATATCTTCTGGAGGTTTTCTCTACAAACAACACCTTCTGGAGGTTTTCTCTACAAATAGAACTTTCTGGAGGTCTTCTCTGCACAAAAGAACTCCTGCAGGTTTTCTCTACATAGAAGGCCTTCTGGTCTTCGCATCATAGAAAGCCCTGTGGAGATCTTCTCCACACGGAAGACCCTCTGGAGGTCTTCTAGACATAGAACACCTTTTAAAGGCTTTTTTACAGAACATCTTCGGAAGGTCCTCTCGACACAGAAGACCTTCTTGTGGTCTTCTCTACACAGGAAACCTTCTGGAGATCTTCTCTACAGAGAAGACCCCACCGAAGACCTTCTGGTGGGGTTCTCTACATAGGAGACCTTCGGGTGGTCTTCTCTACCCAGAAGACCTTTTGAATGTGCTCTCTACATAGAAGACCTTCAGGAGATATTCTCTACACAGGAGACCTTCCGGAGTTCTTTTCTACATAGAAGACCTTCTGGAGGTATTTTCTACGTTAAAGATCCTCTGGAGGTTTTTTTCTACATAGAAGTTTTTCTGGAGGTTTTCACTACATAGAAGTTCTTCTGGAGTTCTCTATTTAGAAGACCTTCTGAAAGCCGTCTTTACACAAAAAGTCTTCAGAAAGCCTTTTCTACACAGACAACCCTCCGAAGGTCTTCTCTACTCAGATGACCTTTTGGATGTCTCATCTGTATAGAATACCTTTTAGAGGTCTTCCCTACATAGAATGCTTTCTAGAGATCTTCTCTGTATAAACGCCTTCTGGAAGTCCTCTCAACACGCAAGACCGTCCAGAGTTCTACTCTACATAGAAGACATTATTTACGTTATCTCGACATTCGGTAGGTATTCGCTACATAGAAGTCATTAGGGAGGTTTTCTGTACATAGAAGACCTTCTGGAAGTCCTCTTTACACAGAAAGACTTTTGGAGGTCTTCTTTTCACCGGAGATCTTCTTAAGGTTTTCTTTAGAGCTAAGATCTACACACAAGACATGGAAGACTTTTCGGAGGGATTTTCTACACAGAAGAGCTTCAAGAATTCTTCGCTACATAGAATTTCATCATAACAAGCTAATGAAATTGCTTTCCCATTCCCCATAGAGATTTTATGCGTGACAATTTCATTGAAATGGAACCCTCTGAAGGTGGTCCCGATTGCAAATCGCGCATCTTCACCTATGGCGAAATTGAGCTGAACTACTGCCCGAAAGTGTATTACAAAAAATTACTCCAAACCCATGGCGATATCAGTCAAATACAATATGCCATTTTGAAAAACAGCTATTCGGTGGGTTTGAATCAAGAAGCTGCTCCAGGATTCGGTAATGCCATGGGAGAGGCGGCCATCCTGTCCGTTTCGACGCCCAAACATTTGCAACAGAATTTGGGTCTGCTGACTAATATTGACTATGATGATATTTTGAATTTGAATCGTTTGTATCGAATGGTAAGAATTTTGATTGGGGAGGGGTTTACGTGAAGACCTTAAATTAAAATTGAGTTTTACTTTTTCTTAGGCCGTTCACACTGTCTTGACCATTCCCATGTATTTTGTCCATGAAAAACTGTGGATCGATATGATCGATAATAGAATCTCACCAGATCGATATAATTGTCACTATTGGAATTTGATGGCCAAGTATATGGGTGTGGGACCCACAACACAGACCAAGGATGGTGCCTATGATATGCCCTATAAATTCTATGAAGGTATTGTGGAACAATCAAGAAGTACCAGGTAAGTAAGGGATGGCAAAATAAAGGGCCTAAGAGGGGCTAATAATGGGGCTAAGTCATAAATCTCAAAATTTTATTAAATTTTTTAAATTTGGGAGCACAAGGAATTAATCTACTGGCCATAAAGGGCATCTGAAGTTGTCTTCAATACATGAAGGGTTGTTTTGTACCCAAGTAATGCAACTGTTATTATATAATTCGTAATATGTAATTCGGTGGCATTATTTAGAAACAACCCACCATATATGCATAGAAAACCCCATCAGACCCCTTGTATGGCTAAAAGACCAATTAAGAGACATCTTTTGAATAAGGAAGTAAAAAGGCAGCTATTTTCGGCAGGGCTGATCTTTTTATGCCCTCCACTATTTGGGAGAATCTACAAAATTTAAAAAAATAAATCCGTCTAAAAAAACCCGCTCAAATGAAAGACGTGGATCTGAATAAAGAAACCTTATGAGTTTTTACGAACATTACGAACTTTAAATACGAAATCTGAAACAATTCCGGTGAATACTGTCGCTAAAATCATTAAAATACCAAATATGGGAAAGTATCGTTGTATGGAGGCTATACGAAGACGTGCACCGATCTTCGAACAGACAAAGGCTGATCTGTGCAAAATTTTAGCTTCATCGTGATTACAACATACGGGCAGACGCACAGGGTTAAATCGCCTTCTAATTTTACGCTTATCAACGGTATACCTACTATGTATTGTGGAGGGCATAAAAAACACTTAAGTAGCTCTCGGCGAATCAGAGAGCCTTGATTTGCTCGTATTAACTCGCGATTTGCTCGTATTAGTCGTGATCGAAGAGTAGGAGTAATACAGGACGTTTAATCTCCACTCTTTTGTTTTATAAGAGAGAGCTCGTGAGTTACTCTTATTTAAAAAATGAGAGTGGTAAAGAGAAATAGAGTAAGAGTTTACTCTGCGAGTTCAATTGAGTGCAAAACTTTTTTGTTCGCTTTGGGTTTAAAGAACACACATACGTATAAATAATTGTAGAACAGATTTAACTCTCACTCATACATGGAGTATACTCGGTATCTATCTTCTACTCGTTCGAGTGCTTTCCCTCGAATTCGACTACAGGGTGAAACTCACTCAAATTCGAGGGAGCATTTCGGAGCCATGTGCTGTGGATAAAAAATCTTCAATTTATAGAAAGTACTCAGGTGGCATTCTATAAAAAGCATTCCGCTCAATTATAGTTGGAGGCTTCGTGGGTCTTCCTTCTTCTATACAACCCTCCGTTGAAAGACTACTTGAGTGGATTTCAACTTTTAAAATACCATTGAAATGACCTTCTACGAGGTTAAATGGCTAGCTGTGGGTAAAAATTTGAATTGAATAATTTGAGTGATATTCTGCGGGTAAGAGACCTCTTGGGAAACCTTTTTCAGTCACAAGCTCAGTTGACTGACCATATCTATACATAAAACCATTTGAATGACCTGTTAAACATAAAATGAGACTAGGAAGTGCACACTACTTCGTCAGCGAAAAGTCCAAATTAAAATTTTAGATTCCTTCCAACAGTTCGTGTTAGGCCTCAAAATGCACTTTGTTCAGTTTGACAAATTTTTGAATCAAAGCTTCTTACAACGTGCTCAATTTTCAGACTGTCAAGGTTCAGATTTTTCCTTTTTCGTAAAGAATAATAGGAAAATTTAGTAACACTTAGTACGCATATCCACAACAATCCATATCACTCCATCACCGACAGTGATCCCAAAATTGCACCATGCAGAACTTTTCGAACAATTATAGCAGGCATTTGCATAATCACCAGCAGATCTAAACACCAGATACCAACAGTGGCATCCATATTAAATTTTCAAGATTTCAGCTCTATATATTTACTCAATATCAAATTAAGTAACATTTAGAACTTTTCGGAAAATTTTAGTATGCATTTTCGAAATAATCTCCATATCTCAACCTCAGATACCAACAGATAAATAAATATCAAATTTCAGGATTTCAGCACTATTCCTTTACTCAATACCAAATATTGTACTACTTAGTACTTTTCGTATAATTATAGTGCACATTTCCGAATTCTCCATATCTTAATTTCAAATACGAACAGTGTTCTCAATATCAAATTTGAAGATTTCAGTCCCATCCCTTTACCAAATACCAAATTTAGTACTTTTCGTACAATTTACGAAATAACCTCCATATCTCAATTACAGATACCAACAGAGACCTCAACATCAAATTTAACGATTCCATTTCTATCCCCTATATCAAATTTAGTAGCATTTAGTACTTTTCGTACAAATATAGCACACATTTCCCAAACCACCTCCATATCGTAATTCCAGATACTAACAGAGACCTAAATATCAAATATCAGAAGTTTATCCCTACCCCTTCCACCAATTTCAAATATAGTACTATTTAGTTCTTTTCGTACAATTATAGTACACATTTTCAAAACCACAGACATTTGTTGAACGCAGATGCCAACAGAGACATTAATATTAAATTTGAGAATTGTAGCTCTACCCCTTCACCCGATACCAAATTTAGTACTTTTCGTACAAATGTAGCACGCATTTCCAAAACATCCACAAAAATCAAATACAGACACCATCAGTAATGTAAATATCGAATTCTAGAATTTTATTTCTACCCCTTCACCCAATACCAAATATAGTACCATTTAGTACTTTTCTTACAATTATAGTACACATTTCCGAAACCAGACTCCAGACTCTAAAACCAAATTTCAGATTTCAAGCACTATCTTTTCACCTAATACCAAATTGTACCAAAAATAGTACTATTCAGTACTTTTCGTACATTTGTAGGACACCCTTCCAAAACCACCCCAGCAACCAACAGGTGTACTAATACAAAATTTCAACATCACAGCTTCACCCGTTCACTCTAAATTAAAGTGTTCTAAATTTTGGTACCATTTAACTGCTTCATACCATCCATTTTAAATTTTCGTTTCCCAATTGTACCAAATTTGGCAGCATGTAGTACACATAAGTACGAATTTCCAAAACTTCCACAACTCCATACTCTTACAGTAATTTTATTTCCAAATTTCATGACTCTACATCTATTGTTTCGCCCAATTCCAATTTGAACCAAATTTAGTACCATTTAGAACACATAAGTACAAATTTCTGTAACAATCTGCATCATGCAATCCAATATAAATCTTATTTTCCCAATTTCACGATTCAAGCCCTATTGGTTCACCCAAATCTAAATTTTACTAAATTTAGTACGAATTTCCAAATTTTAATACATTTTCCAATCCTACACTTCCACAGTAATCCCAATTCCAAACTTTAGGATTCCAACTCTATTTCATTCCAACTCGTTTCATCCAAATTGTACCAAATTAAGGACGTACTAGTACATATTAGTAAAAATTTCCAAAACTACCTCCGTATCCCAATTCTACACTCTGTCAGTAAACTTATTTCCAGATTTGAGTGTACCAGCTCTATCGGTTCACCCAAATCCAAATTGGACCAAATTAAGCACCATTTAGTACACTTAAGTACGAATTTCTAAGACTACCTGCAATATCCCAATCCTACAATGCAATAGTGATCTTATTTCCAATTTATAGCATTCCAGCGCTATTGGGTCACCCAAATTAAAATTGTACCAAATATATAGAGTACCATTTAGTACATATTAGAACAAGTTTCCACAACTATATATATCATACAATCCAATAGATATCTTATTTCCGAATTTTAGGATTCCAATTCTATCTGTTCTCACCAAATTTAAATTGTACCAATTTTAGTACCACTTAAGTACGAATTTTTAAACCGTCATATATACCCCAATTCTACAAAGCAATAGTAATCTTTCTTCCAAATGTCAGCATTCCAGCTTTATTGGTTCACCCAAATCGAAATTGTACCAAATTTAGTACCATTTAGGACTTTTAGTGCACATAAGTACACATTTCGAAAACTACCTTTATATTCCAATCCTATACTCCGCCAGTAATGTTAATTTCAGATTTCAGGATTCCAGCTCCAACCGTTTATTCAAATTTAAATTGTACCAAATTTAGAACTTTCCGTATACATAAGTGCACACTTCAACCCTGCTCAGAAGTTCTTATGTGGATATATACGTTTACAAGTCCTCTTGGTTCTCCTAAAATCCTTACAAAACTGACCTTCTGTGAAACAACGCCCAAAAAGAACTACTTAAGTGTCATTTTGTTGATAGAGGGCCAATATAGAAGACCCATCAGGTTTCCTCTTTTCAATCAAGACTATTTCTAGAATACCACTACTTAAGTGAGCCCCTATATATAGAACATACAGTTCCCGTTCATTAGATAAGAGGTCACTTAAGTCATCTTCTCTAAGTACAAATCACTTAAGACGATTTCTCTTTCCACATCTTCTAAATTTTTCCACCTTTTGCAGAAAACTCTTTGGTGAATTTTTGGGTTATCAAATTTATCGGGCCATCTGTTTGGAAATTGGAGAGTTCCAACGCGGTAATGCCTATAAAGTCTTGAACAACTGTGATTTTGCCAATCACAAAGAAGCTGGTGAGCTATTAAAGTAAGTATGAATATCCCTTTAAGGTATAGAAAAATAATTCATTCACCTGTCCATTTTTAAACAAATTTCTTTTTCTTTTTTTGTTCCCCCCTCCCCCTTCTAAAAATTGCAGACAAATGATGTCGGCCGGTTCAACCAAATCCTGGCGTAAAATCATCCGCCCTCTGACCATACGAAACATTGAAAAGATATCGGCTACGGCCTTCTTGGAATATTTCGAGCCGCTGAACACATGGATCACCGAGGATAATATTGAGAAAAATCTCAGTGTCGGCTGGACTTATGGTGATAGTATGTGTCCTCCCGACTCGAGTGACAAAGCAAATATTTAATTTGTTTTTTTTTTATTTTTGTTTTCTTTTTCCACATTTTATTTTAGAATGTCAACGTTCAACGTAAAGGAAAGCAAAACAAGCCCCAAGATGATGACGATGATGCCATTGTGCCTTGAAGGATATCCAAAGATCCATTTGGGTATCCTGTATTTGTCATTGACAAAATGAAGAAATAATTTAAGGATATTTTTCTTATTTTAGATTTTGATTTTCTTATTTGGTCTATCATGTGTGTTGCTGTTGTTGTTCTATCCTTTGTTTATTTTTTGTATTGATGATGGATGGTGGAAATAAGACAATGATTCGCTTCAAATATCAAAGGGCAATTGTTTGATTTGGAATAAAAATAGGATGTGTGTCATTTAATGTGAGATTGTAGGAAAATATTTGTAGGATTTAATAGGGCATGGAAACTAATTGTTTTACCAGAAATAAAAGACTTTTAGAGAAAAAAGTACGAGAGGTATCCTGTAGGTAAGAATAATTTTAGAAGTCCTTTTGCAGTTCTACTAGAGAATATAAAACTTTTAATAAAGCTTCTGCAAAATAAAAGATTAATTAAATTAAAATTAATTTAAATTTAATTAAATTAATTTAAAATATCTTTAAGGGATCTTCTAAAGAATAGAGGTCCTTTCAGACATCTATCTATATAATTAAAAGGGGTAAGTGACTGACTGACGGACTGACTTAAAGATAATCAACGCCCAGACGAAACGGCTGAAGTTTGAATATTGAAATTTCGAAAATTTTTGGTCTTGATCCAAAGGTGTCAGACAAGGCTGGGTTATTGGAAATTCGTACTAGAACGGTACGAAAGGCATTAAAAGGTACTAAATATGGGACCCTTTGTATTTGAGGAAGCAGTAGAGCTAGAACTCTTAAATTTGGAATAAGGGTCACTGATGTAGTATATAACGAATGTACCAAAAGGTTTTTGGAAATCCGCACTAGAAGTGAACGTGAAGGACTAAAATTACAAAATTTGGTACCATTCCGTATCATGTGAATGGTTAGAGTACAAAACTTGAAATTTAGAATGGGAATCAAGTTTTAGAAATAGGGTCGATGTAAGGAGTTAGCTATGAAAGTATGTTGTCATGTATACAAAAAGTACTAAACGGTACTAAATTTAGTACAATTCGAATTTGAAGGAACGAATAGAGTTGGAATTCTGAAATTTGAAATTAACCTCATTGGCGGTGAGTCGGATTGGGACATGGAGGTAGTTTCCGAAATTTTTACTTATGTGCACTAAGAGTGCTACATGGTACTTAATTTGGTACAATTTCATTTCGGGTGAACCAATAGAGCTGGAATACTGACATTTGATAATAAGATTACCATTCATTGTAGAATTTGGGGTATGTATGACGTTTTGGAAATTCGTACTTATATGTACTTAATGGCACTAGCAATGATAATTTACATTTTGGGAGAATCGATAGAATTGGAATCCTAACATTTGGAAATAAAATATTTATTGAATTGTAAGATGTAGGTAGTTGTGGAAATTTGTTCATATATGGTGCTAAATGGTGCTAGATTTGGTACAATTTGCATTTGGGTAAATCAACAGAGCTAGTATCCAGAAATTTGGAAATAAGATCACTATTGGAGTGTAGGATTGGGGTACGTAGGGAATTTTGGAAATTGGTACTTTTGTGTACTATGTTACTAATGTTTGTTACAATTTAAATTTTGGGAGAGCCGGTAGACTTGGAATCATCAAATTTGGAAAAAAGATAACTCTTGTATAGTAGAATTGGAATATGTGCGTAGTTTTGGAAATTCGTACTTAATGGTACTAAATTTGGTACAATTTAAATTTTGGGAGAACCGATAGGGTTGGAATTCTAAAATTATAAAATAATATTTCTATTGGATTGCTATGATAAATGTAGTTGTGGAAACTTGTTCTTATATTGAATAAATGGTACTAGATTTGGTACAAGTTGGATTTGGATGAACCAAAAGAGCTAGTATCCTGAAATTTGGAAATAAAATTTACCATAGGAGTGTGGGGTTGGTGAAGTTTTGAAAATTCGTACTTATGTGTACTACATGGTACTAAATTTGGTACCATTTTTTTTTTTTTGCGAACCGATAATTTTGGTTTTTATACCCTCCACCATACTATGGAGGGTATATTAATTTTGTCATTCCGTTTGTAACTCCTCGAAATATCCATGTCAGACCCAACGAAGTATATATATTCTTGATCAGCGTAAAATAAGACGAAAAGCCATGTCCCTCTGTCTGTCTGTCTGTCCGTCTGTCTGTTGTAATCACGCTATCTTTCGAACAAATTGAGATAGAAGGCTAAAATTTTGCACATATGTATATTTTGCCAGTAGACAGGTTAAGTTCGTAAATGGGCCATGTAGGTCCAAGTTATCATATAGTCCCCATATACCATACCCCCGATATTCTGTATTTTGATGATTTTAGCGACATTATTTACCGGAATCGTTTTAAAGTTGGCATTTGAAGTTCGTAATAGATGCTGCAGTATAAAACAGAAAATGAGCCATGTAGGTCCACGTCTTCGTATAGCCCCCATATACCGTACCCCCCGATATTCGGTATTTTGATGATTTTTGCGACATTATTTACCGGAATTGTTTCAAATTTCGCATGTCAAGTTCGTAATGGATACTTCAGCCCATGCCAGAAAATTGTCTGTGCAGGTCCACGTCTTCGTATAGCCCCCATATAACGGTACCCCCTATATTCGGTGTTTTGATGATTTTAGCTACATTATAAACAGATTTTTCTTCAAGTTTCGCATTTAAATATTGTAATAACTTATGACAAAAGTTGCCTATGTAGGTCCACGTCGTCTTATAGGCATTCGGTATTTTTAAGATTTTAACAGAATTTTTAACGGATTTTATTTATTTTTTTTTGGAAATTGTCAAATTGGTAACAAATGGTGGAGGGTATTCAAAGTTCGGCCCGGCCGAACTTACAGCTTTTTCACTTGTTGAAAATTGGGAAATAAAATTTAAATTGGATTGTATGATGCAGGTTGTTATGGAAATTTGTACTCAAGTAAACTAAATGGTACCAAAATTTGGATTTGTATGGTTTAGGCTGAACGGATTAAGCTGTAATTTTGAAATTTTGTATTGCGACCCCTGTTAGTTGTAGAGGTGGTTTTGGAAATGTGTACTATAAATGCACGAAAATTACTGAATAGTACTATATTTGGTACAATTTGATATTGGGTGAACAGATAGTGCTTGAAATCTAAAATTTGGTATTAGGGTCGCTGTATATCTGGATATAAGGAGGTGGTTTCGGAAATGTATACTATAGTTGTAAGAAAATTGCTGAGTGGTACTATATTTGGTATTGAATGAAGGGAAAGGGTGGCAAGAAGGGAAAGAGTCTAATTTGATATATAGGTCTCCGTTGTATCTGTGTTTGATATATGTCGGTGATTTAGAAATACTTCCTATATTTGCACGAAAAGAACTAAATTGTACTAAATTTGGTATTGGGTGAGGGGATAGAGGTGGAATTTTTAAATGTAATATTGAGGTCTCTGTTGGTATCTAGAATTGCGATATGGAGGTGGTTTAAGAAATGCGTTCTATATTTGTAGGAAAAGTACTAAATAGTACTAAATTTTGTTTTGGAGGAAAGAATAGAGGTGAAACCCTGAAATTTGATACTGAGGTCTCTGATGGTATCTAGGTTTGAGATAGGGATGTGGTTTTGGAAATGTTTTCTATAATTGTATGAAAAGTACTAAGAAGTACTAAAATTAATACTGGGTGAAGGGATAGAGCTGCACATACGTGTACTTGTCGGTGATTTTGGAAATGTGCACTATAATTGTACGAAAAGTGCTAAATAGTAATATATTTGGAATTGGGGATATTTTGGTCTTTGTTAGTATCTAGAATTAAGATATGGAAGTTGTTTGGGAAATGCGTCCGATATTTGTACGAAAAGTAGTAAATGCTAAATTTGGTATGGGGTGAGGAATAGGGATGGAATCATCAATTTGATATTGAGTTCCCTGTTGGTATCTCGAGTTGAGATATGGAGATTATTTGGAAATTTGTCCTATTATTATACAAAAAGTACTAATTTTGGTATTGGGTGCAATTTCTCAGTTTGATATTGAAGTCTCTGTTGGTATCTGAGATTGAGATTTGGCGGTGGTCTTGGAAATGGTTACTATAATTGCAAGAAAAGTACTATATAGTATAATATTTGGAAGGAATAGAGCTGAAATCCTGAAATCTCATATTTAGGTCTCTGTTAGTATCTGCAATTGAGATATGAAAGTGGTTGGCGAATGCGTCCTATATTTGTACGAAAAGTACTAAATGCTACTAAATTTGGTATGGGGGGATAGAGATGGCATTTTCAAATTTGAAGTTGGTATCTGGAAATGAGATATGGAGGTTATTTTGGAAATGTGTACTATAATGGTACGGTAAGTACTAAATTTGGTATTGAGTGAAGAGATAGGGCTGAAGTTTTCAAATTTCATATTAAGTTCACTGTTGGTATCTGAGTTTGTGATATGGAGATTATTTCGAAAATGCGTACAATTATTGTTTCGTAAAGTTTTAAATGCTTCCATATTTAGTATTGGGTAAAGCAATAAATCTGAGATTCTGAAATTTGATATGGATGTCTCTGTTTGTGTATATAGTTGAGGAAAAGGTGATTTTGGGAAATTCATTAAAAAAACATACGAAAAGTGGTGCTGGAATAGAGATGGAATTCTAAAAATGGGGATGGAGGTCACTGGATTTAGATATGGTGGTGGCCAATTTTTATTGTGAAAATACATAGAAATAGTTTCGGCCAGGAAAAATTGGATGTGGAATCATGGTGCAAGGGGTTTATCTAATATGTTCTTCGGTAAACTTCAAAACGAATGATTATGCCCTCAGCCATATATAGATCATTTGAGACGTCATCAAAATAACGGTTTTAGACCCTAGGTCTCTTTGGACCGCATTGCATAATGGTCTATTCCTTCTGAACGTAGAACGAATCATAAATTTTAAGTTGAACTTCTCGCCGACGAAGTAGCAGCACTTGCTAGTCTTAAATTAATACTTTTAAAACCTGTCCTGAAATTTGTTTTTAGTGTTCAATAGTGCATATTTTCTAACCACAGCTTTTTTGGATGGTATGCCAGTATAAGTGGACGATGATGACATTGAACTCGTTCTCAGGTTTGTTAAAAAATATTTTAATTAACCAACTTTGGACCCAATAGGATGCAAGAGTTATGGTGTTACAGTGGATACAGGTAACAACGGGAGAATCAATAGAAAATTTTGTATCGAACCGGATATCTGAAACAAAGTAGCTGCCTCTTGTGAAACATTAATCGCTACCAGAGACTCGTGGATCGACGGATTTCTAAAACAAATTCGACTGGAAACTGTTGTTATACAGACGGCTCAGTGCTAGGGGAGAGAGCGGGACTGGAACTCATCTGTACAAGATATAATGTGCAGATAAAAGCATATGCAGGGCATGCGGGGAAGATGACGAAACACATTGGAAAAGTTTATCTGCCTATGCCAAGCGTCTGCAAATATCAGATCCCAATTCTTAGAGAACAACTCTATACCAAACCTTAATCAGATCATGGTAAACGATATTAAACATTTAAGAAATTTCATAAAGGCAACTGAATTTAAAATATAACAGACTGTAAACTGTCCGTCTTCTTCGAAAACTCCTTAGACTATAGCGCATAAAAGGCCTATACTGGCTTAAGTGTATGCCCAACAGGGCATGCGGCGAATTGTTTCGCCCCTCTTTTGAACCTAACCTAATCTATAGTGGGCCCTGTCCAAACCAAGAGATGGACGGAAATTGTTAGATCGATTCCAAATGATCTGGAACGGATTTCTTCCAAAGAGATATGAGGTCGCAACTCGTTATTTCGATAGAGGCTGTTTTTCGATAAAATTAATATTTTTTTATGAACTTGTATGGAATGGACAACAAATTATAGAGACCTTCAAAAGACATTTTACAGGTCTTTTATTCCATATTAAAATTAAATCATTTTTGAAAGAATGAATTGTTTTTGGCCTGCCAGAGTCTTTTATACTTGACATACCGAATGTATTTATACCCTACACCACAAGGTGGTCAGGGTTTTATGTCTTTGTGCCTTTGTTTGTAACAGGCAGAAGGAAACGAGATAGACCCATAGTTCCTTTTGATGATCTGCATAGAATCACATTCTGAGTCGATTTATGCATGTCCGTCCGTCCGTCTGTCCATGTATTTTTGTAAACAAAGTACAGGTCGCATTTATTGCCCGATCCAGATGGAATTTGGCAAAGATCTTTTGTTTGGCCCAAGGACGAACCCTATTGAAATTGGAGATAATCGGTCAAAATTTAGATATAGCTCCCATATATATCTTCGTCCCATTTGCCTTTTATTGTGCACCAAACGTGTAATATCAGCCCGAATTGTATGGAATTTTGCATATACACCTAAATTAGGCCTGAAAATATGTATGCCAAATTTGATCGAAATCGGTTCAGATAGAGCTATCGCTCCCATATATATTGTTCATCCGATTTGTTATTTTTGTCCACCGCCGGCGTAATATGCACTCTGTAACAACAATATTTGGGGAAATATATCAAATACAGCTCAGAAATACATTTGCTAAATTTTATCGAGATCGGTTCAGATTTGGATATAGCTCCCATATATAACTTCGTCCGATTTACCTTTTATTGTGCACCAAACGTCTAATATTTGTCCAAATGGGATGGAATTTGGCACTTACGACCGAATTGAGTCTTTGATTCTCCCATTAAAAAGCTAGTATGTCAAATTTGGTGAAGATCAGTTCAGATATAGCTATAGCTTCCATATATATTATTCATCCGATTTTTTATATTTGTTACCCACAACCGTAATATGCACTCCGTAACAACGATATTCAGGGAAATATGTCAAATACAGCTCAGAAATATCTTTGCCAAATTTTATCGAGATCGGTTCAGATTTGGATATAGCTTCCATATATATCTTTATCCGATTTCAAATTAATTGTGCACCAAATGGGTAATACAATTCCGAATTTAAAAGACACAAATGCTTCGGCATATTTAGTCCTTTGAACTTTAACTTATAATTATAATCATAGCGTGTATGATTGAATTCTCCCATAAAAACTTTTAATTGTTATGTGGAGCTCTACTTAATTAGCAAGGTGGTGTAGGGTATCATAAAGTCGGCCCCGCCCGACTTTAAGACTTTCTTTACTGGTTTTATTTTTGTATCTTGCCTTCTTTGAAATATTTCAACTTCCCTCTTAAATCACCTAACGAATTTATTAAAAAAAAATATAAATATTTATTCTAAAATTCCATGACATTCAACAAATTTTATCGCATGTGGGTGAGGAAATCAAAATCACAGACACACACACACACACACACACATTTTATATTTCACTGTGCAAATTATTTCTCCAGCTAGCAGCTATCCATCCATCCATTTATCCACACACACAATCCGTTCGCTGCTGTAACCCAACAGCCTGAAAAAGCCTTGATAAGAACCCTGCCATTGCCCATATCAAAAGCAGCAGTCGTCGCTGGGTACAAACGCCAAAGCGTGAACCAAATTAAAAAAAAAAAAAAAACTTCAACTAGTTTTGGCATTCCAATTTTAGTCTCGCTTAAGATGTCGATTGCAAAGCATTTCTTTCCACTGGAATTGAAATGAACGAAAATTAACGGATAATAAAAAAGAACGCCATTGCTCGTTTTTGTTGTTCGCTGAACTTTCAATTCGGAAGCAGAAGAAAAAAAAAACTCTAACAGAAGTGCAAGTTTGACAAAGGAGACAATATTTCAAAAAAAAAAAAAAAAAAAAACCGAGTGAAATGAAAAAGGATATTTCGGAGAATTGTGTTTGACGACGGATTAATGAAAATATCGTGATTCGAAATTGTGCAGTGAAATGATCGATGAAGTGAAGGGACCGCACAAAGATCCACTTAATATCATTCATTTTTGAAAAAAAAAGAAGAGATTTGAGAGTTTTGCTGGATTTTGTTTTTAAATAAGCGGTGTTCGAAATTCGGTGTACTCTATTTATCAAGTGATCTTAGTGCGTAATAATACCATGTTGGATTCAAAAATTATTTGATTTTAGTCTGAAGTCGGATTAAAACCAATTTTCTATTTATTTTAAAACCAGTAAAGAAAGGCTAAAAGTCGGGCGGGGCCGACTTTATGATACCCTACACCACTTTGCTAATTTAGTAGAGTTCCGCATAACAATTAAAAGTTTTTATGGGAGAATTCAATCATACACGCTATGATTATAATTATTATTTAAAGTTCAAAGGACTAAATATGCCGAAGAATTTGTATCTTTTAAATTCGGAGTTCTATTGCCCATTTGGTGCACAATTAATTTGAAATCGGATAATAATATATATGGGAGCTGTATCCAAATCGGAACCGATCTCGTTAAATTTTGGCAAAGATATTTCTGAGCTGTATTTTATATATTTCCCTGAATATCGTTGTTACAGAGTGCATATTACGGCTGTGGGTAACAAATATAACAAATCGGATGAACAGTATATATGGGAGCTATAGCTATATCTGAACCGATCTTCACCAAATAGCTTCTAGACTCAAATCGGTCGTAAGTGCCAAATTTCATCCAATTTGCACAAATATTAGACGTTTGGTGCACAATAAAAGGTAAATCGGACGAACTTATATATGGGAGCTATATCCAAATCTGAACTGATCTCGATAAAATTTAGCAAATGTATTTCTGGGCTGTATTTGATATATTTCCCCAAATATTGTTGTTACAGAGTGCATATTACGGCTGCGGAGGACAAAAATAACAAATCGGATGAACAAAATATATGGGAGCTATAGCTATATCTGCACCGATTTCAAATTTGGCATACATATTTTCAGGTCCAATCTGATCGTACGTGCAAAATTCCATACTATTCGGACTGATATTACACGTTTGGTGCACAATAAAAGGCAAATCGGACGAAGATATATATGGGAGCTATATCTAAATTTTGACCGATTATCTCCAATTTCAATAGGGTTCGTCCTTGGGCCAAACAAATGATTTGTGCAAAATTTCATCTGAATAGGGCAACTAATGCAAACTGTACTTTGTTTACAAAAATACATGGACAGACGGACAGACAGACATGCATAAATCGACACAGAATGTGATTCTATGCAGATCATCAAAAGGAACTATGGGTCTATCTCGTTTCCTTTTGCCTGTTACAAACAAATGCACAAAGACATAATACCCTGACCACCTTGTGGTGTAGGGTATAAAAAGTCAGAAAATATCAGTCAGCATTGCCGACAGATGTATACCCTCCGCCAATGTCCTTTTATCAAAATAAATGTTGACTTGCGTTATGATTATTTAATTTTTACCCTGGATTGTACCGAAGAAATGGACAAATATTGACTATCCACTGCTTCCTTCACTCTATATGAGACATGTTATAATTTTTGGAAAATTTTGAAATGTGCCTGAGGTTCCAGATATAGTGGACCGATGTATTCCACTTCGTATAAAAACAATATTTAACGAAAATCTAAAACTTATATAGTTATTGATCAAAATTTTAGCCTTTTGTGAATAAGGAACCAGATGGAGTGAACTGATATATTCCATCTTCATATCAGACCTTGGGTTAATAAAAATATTGTAATGTAGGTAATTCGATGACAATCGGACTCTTTCACACTTTGTGGTTGGCGCTCTTAATGGAGTGGATCGATATTACCCATCTCCGAACTCGATCTAAGTTTGACAAAAATATTACGATCTACCAAGTTTGGACCAAATCGGATACTCCCTTCAGTTCCAAATGCCCTGAAACGGATTTGGTTCAAAAATACCGGGGGTCTAAACTCGCTATTTCGATGAGGCACGTTGTGGCCATATCTAATAATAATAATAATATAATAATATATAATATAAAACCTCTCTAGCCACATGACTGAGGTGATATAGGGTCTTAAAATATCAAAGCGATTGGTAATGGCGCTGTGTTTGGCCGAACTGAATTATTTATATCCTCCACCATGAAAAACCCCAAATTATATAAAAGTCTTTTTGAGAGTGCGGCTGCCTGGACCTTCAATTTTTTTATACCCTCCACCATACTATGGAGGGTATATTCATTTTGTTATTCCGTTTGTAACTCATCGAAATAATGATCTTAGACCAAACAAAGTATATATATTCTTGATCAGCCTAAAATTCTAAGACGATTTAGCCATGTCTGTCTGTCTGTCCGTCTGCCTGTCTATTGTAATCACGCTATCTTTCGAACGAATTGAGATAGAAGGCTAAAATTTTGAACACATTTTTATTTTGCCAGTAGGCAGGTTAAGTTCGTAAATGGGTCATGTAGGTCCACGTTTTCATATAGCCCCCATATAGCCCGTTTTCATATAGCCCCCACGTCTTCGTATAACCTCCATATAACTGTACCTCCCTATATTCGCTATTTTGATGATTTTAGCGACATTATTCACCGTAGTGGAAATTTCATATTTAGAGTTCGTAATGGGAAGTACAGTCTGTGACAGAAAATGGTCTATGCAGATCCAGGTCTTCGTATGGACCCCATATATCAGTACCTCCTTATATTCGGTATTTTGACGATTTTAGGTACAATACTCACCGCGTCGTACGGCTATATTCGGTATTTTTAAAAAGGTAACAGAATTTTTTGCGAATGATATCTTTTTCGACAATTTTCAAATTCGTTCTAAATGGTGAAGGGTATTCAAACTTCGGCCCGGCCGAACTTACTGCTTTTTTACTTGTTTTTTGAAGTCTGAATATTTAATATTTTGTAGGGTGAATAGCTTAATTACCAAATTTTAGAGAATTCGGCTTAAAATAGTGCTAGGATTTCCAGAAAAAAAATAATTTCCAAAAAAAATAATTATGCGTATCCTCGTAAAAGCGAAGTTAAATTTCTCAGACCTAGTTTTTTTCTGCCCTCCACAATGTGCAAACTAGATCCGTTATGATAAATTCTGAATTTAACTAGCAAAGACAAAAACCACGTATATACTACAAATCCGCGAAAAATACAGTAAAAACCATCAAAATACCGAATATCGGGAAGTACTGTTATATGGGGGCTATACGGAAACGTGACCTATACATACAATATTCCACACTGAAGCTAGAACCCATTACGAACTATAAACGTTAATTTTTGGACAAATCCGTAACAAAAAATAAATAAAACCGACAAAATACCGAATATCGGGAAGTACCGTAATATGGGGCTAAAAAAATGTGGACCTATATGTACAATGTTCCACCACCGGAGGAAGCCATTACGAACCACAAATACCATTTTTTAGACAAATCCGTAAAAAAAATGTGGAAAAATTCATCAAAATGTCGAATATCGGGAGGTACTGTTATATGGGGGCTATACGGAAACCTGGACCTAGATATTCAATGTTTCGCCAACGGAGCTAGAACCCATTATGAACCTAAAATGCTAATTTTTGGACAAATCGTTGGAAAAATGTGGCAAAAATCATAAAAATACAGGATATCGGATAGTACCGTTATATGGGGGCTATCCCAAAATGTGGACCGATATATCTCATTTTAAATACCAACCATTCTAGATACAATACATACTACTGGGCCAAATTTTAAAGCTCTATGTAAAATATTGTGGGCTGTATCGTGATTTCAACCGACAGACGGACATCGTTAAATCGACTTAAAATTGTATGCTGATCAAGAATAAATATATACTTTTTGGGGGCTATAGAGAATATTTAGAGACTCTACAAACCGAATAACAAAATTTAATATACCCTCTTCTCCAAGGTGGAGGGTACAAGAATTATCATTGTACTGCTTCTTATACGACGACATGGACCTGCACAGACAATTTTCTGTCATAGGCTGTAGCATCCATTACGAACTTCAAATACTAAATTTAAAACAATTCTGGTAAATAATGTCGCTAAAATCATCAAAATTGCGAATATTGGGGGTACTTTTATATGGGGGCTATACGAAGACATGGACGTGCACAAACAATTTTCTGTCATATGCTGTAGTATCTATTACGAACGTCAAATACCAAATTTGAAACAATTCTGGTAAATAATGTCTCTAAAATCATCAAAATACCCAATACGTGGACCTATTTTCAATACCAAAAGTCAAACAGACATGTGGGTATAAAATGTATATTTCGAGGTGTTACAAACGGAATGACAGACTTAATATACCCTCCATACTATGGTGGAGGGTATAAAAAACATGTAAAAAAGCAATAAGTTCGGCCGGACCAACCTTTGAATACCCTCCACCATTTGGGACGAATTAGGAAATTTTCAAAGAAAATAAAATCCATTAAAACTTCTGTTAAAATCTTACAAATACCGAATATCGGAAGGTGCCGATATGTGGGGGACATAGAATATAGTGGACCCATATAAATAATTCTATTTCATGTGGTAAAGTACTCACAAAGAACCACCTGTCTGAATTTTCAGACAATTCCGTTCGTTGAAAAATGTGGCTCAAATAATCTAATTATCGAATATCGGGGGGTACCGTTATATGTAGGCTATACGATATTGTGGACCTATATAAATAATTCTCTACCAGGCGATAAAGTGCTCACAAGGAACTCCTCGTGTTTATTTTCAGACAATTCCATTGAATAATGTGGTTAAAATTATAAAAATACCGAACATTGGGGGTACCGTTATGTGGGTCCGACAAATTTACGACTTTGAATAATGGCTAAGTTTTGACTCTCAAAAATAATTCCATGATCTCCATAGAAAATTTAAAGTTAAAGGACTTATTTTTATACCCTACACCAAAAGGTGGTCAGGGTATTATGTCTTTGTGCATTTGTTTGTAACAGGCAAAAGGAAACGAGATAGACCCATAGTTCCTTTGAATGATCTGCATAGAATCACATTCTGAGTCGATTTATGCATGTCCGTCCGTCTGTCCATGTATTTTTGTAAACAAAGTACAGTTCGCATTTATCACGCGATCCAAATGAAATTTTGCACAAATCATTTGTTTGGCCCAAGTACGAACCCTATTGAAATTGGAAATAATCGGTAAAAATTTAGATATAGCTCCGATTTGCCTTTAATTGTGCACCAAACGTGTAATATCAGCCCGAATAGTATGAAATTTTGCACATACAACCAAATTAGGCCTGAAAAGAAGTATGATAAATTTGATCGAAATCGGTTCAGATATAGCTATAGCTCCAATATATACTGTTCATCCGATTTGTTATTTTCGCCCTCCGCAGCGGTAATTCGCCCTCCGCAGCGGTAATCTGCAACAACAATATTTGGGGAAATATATCAAATACAGCTCAGAAATACCTTTGCTAATTTTTATAGAGATCAGTTCAGATTTGGATATAGCTCCCATATATAAGTTCGTCCGATTTACTTTTTATTGTGCACCAAACGTCTAATATTTGCCCAAATTGGATGAAATTTGGCTCTTACGACCGAATTGAATCTAGAAGCTAGTATGTAAAATTTGGTGAATATCGGTTGAGATATAGGTATAGTTCCCATATATACTGTTCATCCGATTTGTCATATTTGTTACCCACAGCCGCAATATGCACTCCGTAACAACGATATTCAGGGAAATATATCAAATACAGGTCAGAAATATCTTTGCCAAATTTTATCGAAATCGGTTCCGATTTGGATATAGCTCCCATATATATCTTTATCCGATTTCGAATTGATTGTGCATCAAATGGGCAATACAAGTCCGAATTTAAAAGATACAAATGCTTCGGCATATTTAGTCCTTTGAATTTTAAATTGTATTTATAATCATAGCGTGTATGATGGAATTCTCCCATAAAAACATTTAATTGTTATATGGAGCTCTACTAAATTAACACAGTGGTGTAGGGTATCATAAAGTCGGCCCCGCCCGACTTTAAGACTTTTTTACTGGTTTTATTATAGAAATTATACGTCAAACGTTACAGCCTAATAAACTAATCGCGAAAATTCCTTTTTGCTATTCCTCTAACTTTTACAAATGTTTTGCTGCAAACCATAGAACGGCAAATAAATCAAAACAAAAATTGAAAACATAAAAGAAAAAAAGAAAAGTTCAGAAAAAAAAATAACAAAAACTGAAATAAGAACCCAAACAATATACAAAAGTGTAAAGTGGACCACGCCAATGTGAATCCGGGAAACTGAGAATACCAACAAAAACGAAGAAAATGTCAACAATGATGATCCTAACAATTGTGGTAAGTTTCAGATGGAAAAAGCTGTTTTTCTTTTTCTTGTTTGTATTTATTTTTCGAAAAAGAAAGAAAATTCTAATTCTAGACAACCAACAAAAGATTCAGTCTATATTTCATAACGAAAGGGAACAACATTTGTAGGCGAACCAAGATAAATGGAAATGTCTGGCTAATGGTTTGCCATTTGAAATAGCCAAGTGACCCCCACTCGCAGGGAGACAGACAAACGCACCACCACATTATTTATATCCAAAAAGAACGGAAATGTTTATTTATATAAATGTGTGTCGGTATATTTATTTTCTTTTCCGGTTGCTTGCGACCACAATCGCCAACACTCATAACCCGGAATTCTAGTTGTGGAATTTATTCGTGTTCCGTTGATGGTTGCCAATAAATTGTAGTTTTTTTTTTTCATCCTTCTTTGGTGTTGGTTTTAACGCAATTTCGTCTTATTCTTCTCCGACAATTTGAATGCCAGGGTTATCTTCAAGGAGAGATTAACGATGTGTGGATACTTAGATAGGAAAAGAAAATAATGACCTCCTGAGATCTTAATTACTGAGAGCTATGGGTTACGGACATATAGTAGCTTAAAATTACAGCTTATCCAATAAAACACTGTCGGATAGTCTGGATAAGATAACCCAACAAAAGAGGAAAATTAAGATGATACGAAAGCAATCGGAGGTCAAAAGACGAAAATATTGAAAGGGTCTAAATGTTTGTATGAAAGTAAATATTAATATATCAGGGTGAGATAAAAAAACTGCAACCAATTTCAGACTGCTGTCATTTCTAAGCCACTCGTTCGACAAGTGTTTAAATTATCCCAGTAACAGCCCATTATATTGTTTACAAGTATACAAAAGCATTTTGGTGAGAATTTTCCAGAAAAAAAGTTATTCGTGATGGAATTCAAGCGTGATGGTGTGATTTCTTTATATTTGGCTGGAAAACCACAAGTGGCTATCGTTAGAGCACTCCAGCATTTAAATGTGAATAAATCTTTTGTGTCTCGTACCATCGCTAGTTACCGTCATACTAGTAGCGTAGCCCGACGTCTGGAAGGTGGACGGAAGAAAATAGCAACATCAGCAGAAATGGTTCGAAAAGTAAGGAAGCGACTTGAACGAAACCCACGTCGCAGTGGCGAAAAATGACTCTTGATCGCGATGGCTGAACATATCGCAATATACCATTCGGCAAATATGGAAAAATAAGCTCGGAAGGACTTACACCGCAACAGAACGAAAATAGACTCAAAAGGGCTAAAGAGTTGCTTCGCTTGGCCGAAAGTGGTGAACTGCCGAATTTGGTTTTCTCCGACGAGAAAACATTCGTTGTCCAGCAGTTTATAAAGAAACAAAATGGTCGTGTTTACTTGCCAAAGAGGTCAGCTGAAAATGTGCACCCTCGGTTGGCCATCAGAACTCAAGCGCCAGCTATGGTTGATGGTATGGGCCGCCATAACAGCCGATGGTCGCTCTCCGCTCGTATTAATCGACCGTGACATCAGAATAAATGCCGAATATTATCGCAAAAATATTCTGGAGGGTGTATTGAAGCATTGGGCACGCAAACATTTTGGCCGCAGACCTTGGACTCCAACTCCATTCCAACTGGACTCAGCACCATCGTACTCAGCACGCGCCACCCAAGAATGGTAGCAAAATAAGGTTCCTCACTTCATTTCCAGCGCACAATGGCCACCAAAATTTCCGAATACCAATTCGTTGGACTATTGTGTCTAGAGTATTTTGGAAAGCAAGATAAGGCAAAGTTGGCACAAAAGTGTCGGTCGATCGCCTCGAGCAAGCGTTTCGCCGGGAAATGGGAAAATGCCACAGAGCAAAATATGGGCAGCATTTGACGGTTTCATTGGCCGTTTGAAGGCCATAATTCGTGCCCAAGGTGACCAATTCGAACAAATCTAAACTTATTCTAAAATTTGCTGTTATTTCCGACATTTCATTCAATATCAGTTAAAAAATGTAAGAATTATGGCGTTTGAATTTGTTGCAGTTCTGTTGCTCTGCGGTATTTTGGCCCATTCCCAGCGAAGCGCTTGCTTGAGGTGGTCGACACTTTGCCATTTTTTAGTGCCATTCTTGGATGGCACATGCTGAATGCGATGGTGCTGATGAGTCGTGTTGGAATGTCCAAGGTCTGCGGCCAAAATGTGTGCGTGGCCAAGGCTATAATACACCCTCCAGAATATTTTCGCCATAATATTCGGCATATATTCTGATGCCACGGTCGATTAGTACGAGCGGTGAGTGATCATCGGATGTACCAAGTCTGAATGGAATCGGATGTTAATTTGGCGTTTATGGTCTTCATGGATATTCAAAATGTTGACCCTTTATGGGGGAGGTACAAACAGGAGAAGGAAGGACCGATATGTATTATTTTCAGAGCCGATCTAGTGTTAATAAAAATATTGGTGTGACTAATGTGAAGACAATCGGACTCTTACATCATATTTTATAGGAGTTATAATAATTTGAAATATTGACCTTTGTGGGGGGAGGTACTTTTAATCGAGTGGACCGATATTGTCCATTTTCCCACCTGACCTAGCACTGATGCAAATATTGAAACTAGCAAAGTTGGAGCAAAATTGGATTATCCTTACTTTGAAAATGTCGACCTTTTGTGGAGGAGGTAACAAAAGAAGTGGACCGATATTGCCCATCTCCGAACGCGATATAAGTTTGACAAAAATATTACGATGTACCAAGTTTGGATCAAATCGAATACTTCCTTCGAATATTTATATATTTATAATTTTATAATTTTTTTTGGAGTCCGCGGCGAATACTTGGAGGTATTACAACCAGAAGGAAAAATGTTCTATAGCCCCCATTTCGTGATGGAACATATAAAAAGCACAACTTGTTTGTATGGATTTCAAAAAATGCAGACTTTCTTCGAGCCAACGCACCAATCGTAACACATAGTCACAACTTCAAGGCCTAAATCGTTTCGACTGGACCTTGATGAGTCCATCTGCCAGTTATCTTAAATAATTTTATGTATATAGACTATTTTTTGAAGTATAATTTTCATTTTTTTTTAATTTTATTTTCAGCTTTTATTCCTTTTCACCGGATGTCAATCGCAAACCACCGTAGAACCTCCCGAATCCGAAGCAGAATCTAACCTCACAACAACAGTGAAGCCAACAACGACAACAAGTCAATATTCCGCCGTCTACGAAGCTCATGCCCGCCACTATTTGGAAATTGCCGAAAAGGGCTTCGAACACATCTACAATCGCAAGCGTGAACTATTCCATGGTCTGACCAAGAAACGTGTCAGCATCAGTGAGATCAATCAGGCCAATGTTCAACAGGAAATCGACAATGAATACTATCAGCTGGTCTACGAGTTGGCAGCGAATTTAAGTGTCATTCCGGTGAGGCGGTTGAAAAATGAAACACTGAGGCGTCAGGTACAACGTCTGTCCAAGTTGCAGTTGCATGGTTTGAATAGACATGACTATGAGCGGTCGAAGGCTTTGTTGCGTGTCATACAATCGTTTATAACATCGCCGTTGGTGTGTCAGAATGATTGTAAATCGGCATCGGATAAAAATGTTGCCTTTGAGCCGACCATTAAATCGTTCATTGAGCATAACAAGAACAAGGATCATTTGTATTTCTATTGGCTGAAATGGCGTCATGCCTTGAATAAGGATGCTAATTGGGCTCAGGATACGTTTTTGGAGTATGTGGATTTGTGGCGTAAAGCGGCTGCTTATAATGGTGAGTATGTAAGGAATTGGGAAGAGAAACAATATAAGAGGAAGAGGGAGAATTCTAAATCGTCCGAAATGGGAAAATTTTTAATGGTCCCTTATCTACAAAAGATATGAAATTAGTAAAAAACAGCTAAGTTCGGCCTCCACCATTTTGAAGGATCCTGAAAAACTTAAAAAATAGTAAAGAAAAGCCAAAGTCGGGCGGGGCCGACTATATGATGCCTGCATATTTAGTAGAGCACCCGTAACAAAAGACTTTATTTCAAGTAGATCATACCACCTATCAACATTTGGCCTTAGAGCAGTTATAGTTTGCTATAGAGTACATGATATCACTTGGACAAGGATTATATTAAAAAAATATATATCGGAGCCGTGTTGCCGATTGAAACATACGTCCCGAAATTCACTCCATTTGGGCTGATATTGGCCATTATTTGCACAATGAACCTGAAATCGAATTAGGGATATATATGGGAGCTACATCCAAATCTTAGCCGTTCTCGATAAAGTTTGGCAAAGGCTTTTCCGAGCTTTATAAGATATCAGGTACCAAATATCATTGTTGTCGAATGCTCATTACGAATGTGAGGGACTTAAACACCAAATCGAAGAAGTAAAATAGTATCAGTCGGTTTTGCCGACAGATGTATACCCCCAGCCTTGAGTTATGAACGTGACAGATTTGGACTATATCGACTACTTCTTGTACTTTATATGAAATATGTGAACATTTTCGGAAAATGGTAATATGCGTCAGGTAAAAGATATAGCGGACCGAAGTATTCCATTTTCATAATTCATCTAATGCAGACAAAATATATTGGTATTTGCAAAATTTGAAGGAAAACGAACATTCGTATCCAATTTTATCATAAACCATAAATTCCGACAAATTACATATTCATATCAGAATACTGGTTAAGAGAAATATTTAAATATAGCAAGTTGTAAAGAATCGCCGACTTGTTTCGCAAGTTATGACAGTTATAAGTTGGGATATGTATATCATTTTCACAACAGATCTTGTGTTAGAAATAATGTCTGTATGTGGGAAATTTGAGGAGATTAATGGATGCATTTGGATGCTTTTTTCCTTGAGCGTTTTGTTTTTAAAAAACTTAAACCCTATGTGGGGAGGTACCAGGAAAACTGGTCCGATCTCTACCATCTTTATAACAGATCTTGTGTTGATGAAAATATTGAGAAGCTCCAAGTCTGAATAGAATCGGATGTTAATTTTGCGTTTTATGAGCTTCATGGATACTCAAAATTTTGACTAGAAGTAGTGGACCGATATATCCAATCTCCACACCAGATCTTAGATCTTAGTAGAAATAATGGGACGTGTGTAATATGAAGAGAACCGAATTTTTTTTTCGGATTCTTTGCTCGTTTTGATTATTCAAAACTTAGGTCCTTTGTGTGGGAGGTACTAGAACGAATGGTCCGATATCTACCATCTTTATAAAAGATCTTGCGTTTATGAAAATATTGAAATGTGCCAAGTCTAAATGGAATCGGGTGTTAATTTAGTGTTTTAAGAGATTGATGGATATTCAACATTTTGACCTTTTGTGGGGGAGGTACTTGATGGAGTAGACCGATATTATCCATTTCCACTCTTGACCTAGCACTGACGCAAATATTAAGGTTTACAAAGCTGAAACAAAATCGGATTATAGATTCTCTTTCTGTGCAGAAAATATATATTTTTTAAAATTTTGACCTTTTGTGGGGGAGGTACCAGAGGGTGTGGACCTATATTGCCCATCTCCGAACTCGATCTAAGTTTGACAAAAATATTACGATGTACCAAGTTTGGACCAAATCGGACACTCTCTTCGAGAGTTATCATGCGCACCAGCCAGCCAGACAGACAGACAGACGGACGGACGGAATCGCTAGATCGACTCCAAATGCTCTGAAACGGGTTTGGTCCAAAGGGACCTAGGGTCTAAAACCGTTATTTCTACTAGGCACGTTTTGACCGTATCAAATGATATATACCCACTGTAGCCATATGGCTGAGGGTATAATAAAACATATATGGGAGCTATAGATATAACTGAACTGATTTTCTCCAAATTTGATGTACTTGCTTTTAGACTGAATTCGATCGGATGTATCAAACTTCAGGACTTTTTGACAGATATTGGCCATTTGGTACACAATTTACCCGAAATTTGTTGAGGATATATTAGGGAGCTATATCTAAATCTGATCCGATTATAACCAATTTCAATAAAGTTTTTGGGCCAAAAAAATATTGTTTGCAAAATTTCATCTCAATCAGATAATAATTGTGACCTGCATTTTGTTCACAAGAATACATGAACGGACGGACTGACATGCATAAATCAACTCAGAAAGTGATTCTATGAAGATCCTCGAAAGTAACTTTGCGTCTATCTCGCTTCCTTCTCCCTGCTACAAACAAATGCACAAAGACAACCTTTTACTATGTGGCGTAGGGTATAAAAAACCGTCGGAAAATACTACTTGAATATAGCATGTGGGCTATACGAAGACGTGGACCTATATAGACAATTTTCCGCACTCATTACGAGCTTAAAACTTTAAATACGAAATTTGAAACAATTCCGGTCAAAAGTGTCACTAAAACTATCAAAATACCTAATGTAGGGGGGTTCCGTTCTATGGGGCTTATATCATGGACTTATATAGACAATTCTCTTCCAGGCGGCAAAATACTCAAAAGGAACTCCTTGTGTGGATATAGTCAATTCTATTGAAAATTTTGGGGTACAGATATGGCCCATCTTCGACCTTGACCTGCATGCAGACAAGTGACGAGGTATCTGTCTAAAATTTTATCTTCCTATCTTAGTTCGTTTTGACTCTAGCGTGATTACAACAGACGGACGGACAGTACTAAATCGTTTTAGAATTGTTCGCTGATCTAGAATGGTGTAAGGTATAAAAATCGTCAACCCATGGAAGATCTTAAAAAGACCTTCTATCTACAGGAGACCCGGGAAAAGCCTTCAATTTTGGAAATAAAAATTAAAGCTTCTCCTGTTGTGTGTTTTCATAATCAATCTTTAAAAAAAAAAAAAAAAAAAGAAACATCATCATAAGTTTTCAAAATCATTAATTCCAACAAATGCACAAAAAAACACATGTTCAACACTCTCCAAGGATTGCCTGATGAAACCCTAACCATTTCACCTGCCCATCTAGCCTTGGGCAACGAACACTCCTCAATGAAATATGATAATGTCCTTCAATCGACTACAACTGAGCTGCCTCTTTCCTTTTTCTCTTACTCACCCCAATTCACCCCAATAAAAATGCAATTGAGATTTTCATTGAACTGCAATGGGGAAAGAATTGCACCTTACATCACAAAGACATTACACATGCACACCATTACACTTGCACACACACACACAAGTCAGCTCTTAATTATTTCGATTATCTCCCATGTGCGTAGAAAATTATACAACATTGGAATTATCTAACCCCGTGTGATGCACCTCCTTGCCGCATCAAAGTCGTCGAAAGTTAATTCCTTTGATTGTCCAACCAAGATGGGATGGAATTCTTATCTGACAAAGATTCGATTAGATTTCAAGAAATAGTCATCATTTGGCCGAGAGTAACAAATTACCAATCAGCCTGTCGTTTAGTTTAATTACATTTTGAGTTGCATCTTGAAATTTGAATTCATTTGAAAATCGATTGATTATTCCTATTGAAATACAATGAGACTTTATACTGAGAAGTTAAAAGTGAAGGGAGGTATGGAAATAGGGGAAAATAAATTGGAAATTGGGCCAAAAAAATGATGTAACACCTCGAAATATTGGTCCAAGACATTGCTGTGTATGTCCGTCTTTCCATATTTAATTCTAATCACGCTACGGGTCGCAATTATGGACCGATCACGCAATTATGCATGGAGGTGGGTTTAAGGTCAAAACAGAAATCTAATGTTGGGGGAGATGATCCGTCAAATACCGATGCTTTTTTAGAGATAGCATGTTTTTGGAAAATATTGGTTCCAGATCTATGATGATTATTCGAAAGAAGGAGCATTTAGCTTCATTATTTGCTTTTATTATGTAATAAGTATTGGGAAGGTTTTTTAGGGTAATCTTCATTCTAGTCAAAAGGGTTTCAGATTTACAGATCAAATTTTCGGCCCGCCCGACTATAGCCTTTGCTTACTTGTTAAATGTAGAAAATTTTCAAGTTTTTGTAAAGCAAAAAAATGGATCAATGGAAAATTTCCCTTCTATGAACTACAGGCAAACAAGTGGACATGGCCAGATCGACCCCAAATGTCATCTGCAAAAAATCCTGTGAGACAAAATCCAATCCAAATCCAACAAGTAAAAAAGCAGATAAGTTCGGCCGAGCAGAACTTTTAATACCCTCCAAAATTTTGAAGGATCTTGAAACAAATCGTCGAAAAATACCACTCAAATGAAAACCGTTACTTGGGGGCTATACGAAGACGTGGACCTGATTTCGAACTTCAAATACGAAATTTGGAACTATTCAGTTCAATAATGTCGCTAATATCATCAAATTTGAAACAATTCCGGTGAAATACCAAATATCGGGGGGTACCGTTATATGAGGAGTCATACGATATCGTGGACCTATGTAGACAATTCTCTTCCAAGGGAGCAAAGTACTTAGAAGGAACTCCTTGTGTGGATTTTCTGACAATTCTATTGAATAATGTGGATAAAATCATGAAAATATCGAATGTCGGGGGGTACCGTTATATGGTACGATATAACGATATCGTGGACCTAAATAGACAATTCTCTTTCAGGGGAGCAAAGTACTCAGAAGGATCTCCTAGTGTGGATTTTTAGACAATTCCATTTAAAAATTTGGCTACAATCATCAAAATACCGAATATCGGAGGGTATATACGATATCGTGGACCTATGTAGTCAATTCTCTTACAAGCGGCAAGTACTCACAAAAAACTCCTGTGTAGAATTTCAAGCAATTCCATTGAAA